GGATGAGGCAGGTAATCATTTAAATCTCAAGGAGTGGCCTGGTAGCTCTGTTAAGCCAAAAACTATGTCAAGAAAATCAAGATAACTAAAATATACCATAGACTTAATATTGACATTAAACAAACAACTTTTAAGGTGGACAAATAATTTTATTTTGTGCATGCAAATACATGTCAAGTACTGCAAACTTTTTCCATCAATTTTCTCTCAAACACTGAAAATCATGATGCTCTATTTTGTGAACAGCCAAAGCTAATATCTCTTCACTTCAGTGCTACAGCAAAAACACACAGAATTCACTCTTTGCTATTCACTATCATCACAACCCTCATTGTTCCATCTCTGCCCTCCCCCCATATACAGGCCTTATAAATCCTAGTCTTCCCCCATTTAATCCTATTCCTATAGCACAAAGGGAAACATTACAATTTGGAAATTCAAATTGAAATAAATGGAATAGAATTTATTCCCATATATATTTCCCATTTCATTGTACAGAATTATTTTAAATTATAGTTTTAAATAGAAGCTGAGTATATGCCTTAAAAATGAGCATTAAATCCATCTTAGAGATGGTGCCTGCTTTTTACATGATGGGTGTACACCATCTTTAATTTCATTTACATTTCAATCGAACAATAGATTTGCAAAGAAAATGTCTAATACAGACGTAAAAATATTCACACTAGAGCTTCACAATCGGTTGTACAATTGACAAACAGGCCTCTTTTCCCAAACTTTCCAGCTAAGCAAATTTATAAAATGTAATCAATGCAACAAGAAAAACGTTTCTCTTTCACTTCCAGGGAAAAGAATATGCAATAAACAGTATAAATGCAGACAGCAGTTGCTGCAAGCTAACCACGATACTCCCAAGTGGCTGTACAGTGGATATGTGCAGTACAAATAAAAGCCACATGTGTTGTATCACAACTACAGTATAATTGTTTGCCCAGCTAAGAGAATGCATGCACTTCCATGCCTTGGGTTATAAAGTGAGGCCTAATTCTTGACAGGTTGATGGAGTATGTGCAAATGACCTTGGCTTTTGGCAGTACTAAGTGCAGCCAGTGTCTGTGTTCCACTGGTTTGGGGCTATTTTAAATTTTTTATTTAAAAATGAAAAAACTGCCAATTTTAGACTCGAGGGGAATAATTGCTCTTGGAGTAAATATAAGACTCCACTCAAATGTGGGGTGTTTTCATCTGTGGCCTTGACTCCTTGTATTCCCTTGCCAGCAAAAGGATACAAGGAAGCCGCTAGTATAAAGACATTACTAGCAAACTTATTCAATTTATCCAGAAAATGGGATACTCCTTGAGCATGTTCTTTTGTGTTCTGCTTGCAGAAGGGGTCCTTATGTAGAAGGAGTTACAGTAAGTGATCCCATCAAGCCTCTTCATTCACTAAAACAAAAGAAAAGTTCTTCCAGGAAACCAATGCATAGTTGCAATGCAACTTTACCCTTTAATGCTTAGTTATCAATACTGGTGACCGTCTGCTCAGAAAATGACTCAAAGAAGATAGGGAAGAAATGCTCAGATTCAAAGGTGAAATCACATGCTGAATCTGATTGTTATAAATTCCACCCTTGTTAACAAGACAACATAGGCTTTAATGTCTAAAATCCAAAGCAAGCTAGATGTTTTTTAAAATAATTTTTTAAATGTTTAAATGATCCCATTTGAGATTCCTACAAATTGCAGTGCATTCTGTAATTTTCTCAAAGCAGCGTATAAAATTGGGATGTGCTTTATAGACTTCACTTGAAATCAGAATGAAAGTGACTAGATCCATACAAATGGAAAATTTCAGTTCTTGTAAAGGAAGTTTCTTTTATTATCCTTTTACTAGAATAAATAGCTATGATGGGAAAGAAAAATCAGTGTCACTGGCCTAATGAACTCCCTTTTTTTTGAAAATTACAATGCACAACTTTCATGTATGACACTGGTTTATCACATGGCATTGAAAATAAGACATGGCAGCAAAGGCAAGGGAATCTGCTTTGTTCAGGTACCAACTAGAAAAAAAAAACTAGGAACTTTCTCCGAATTCATAAAACGAAACCACAAAAAAACTGATGCTACACCCACAGTAACTGAATGGGGCACATGGACTTCAGAATGGAACTTAGAAATTAAAAAACAAAAAACACAAAAAATAAAAGAAAATAACCACTTTCCTGCTTTACAGACCTCAGACTATTTTTTCTGATTAGACAATAGGTAACATAAACAGTTTGGTTACCCACATTACAAATTTCCTCCCTTGTTGCTTTGTATCCTTTGATTCCAAATGTGTACATCACATCTTGTTGGTAAAAAGGTCAAATGACAGGAAATGCCTCAATTTTAGAAAGTCATATCCTAGGTCTGATTTGTAACGTTTTCCTCGATGATATCAGGTACCATTCTGAAGAAGGGTCAGATGACTGCCCTTTCTTCGAAAGTAGCAGAGAACCAATGGCTTTACTTCACATTAAACCCACCATGACAGACAGAAGGTGACCACTACATAGAGAATGGATGCAACACAGAATAATTTCAACACAGAAACAATTCCCATGTTGTTAGTGAAAAAGAGAGTAAGTTTTTAAGAACAGGGAGTTATTGTTTTATGGGCTCACCTGCTGCAAGACAAGCATTATTTTAATATAAATGTTCTGAGACATACCAATAAGGTTGGCAGGTATATACATATACTGATGCAAATGTAATTTCACTGGACAAGTAGGCAAACATCTAAGCAGTTTATCCCAACCCCCTCCAGCAGAGCACAACCAAGTTTCAAATTTTCAATTTTAAAATTAAAAAGATAAGGTTAAATACACAAGATCAATTTATGTAGTATATATTCACCCTCAGAACGTGCTGAAGATGTTTTGTGTAGTTCTGTTGCACAGAGGGTTCTTTCCCTGAGGGCACATAAGGAGCTCTCAAACTGTTAATAGGTCTCTATTTTGTAACAAAATAGCAATTTTAAAATCTTAAAAAAAAATACATTACCTTCAACATGGAAGATCTCACTATTAAATATCCATGAAATAGACAGTCTGGTTTGCATATCCTTTTTGGAATTACAAACAGCAAATAAAGTACATTGGAAGCATTTCAAATGTAATAAGCACATATTTATAGAAAGGTTCTGATATAAATTATATAACAATCATGTTCCTGTAATATTCTATGCTAATTTATAATGTCAGAAATAAGTTAATGTAACATGGTTTAAAACTCTTGTTCCTATTCATTTCAGGTTACAGAGTGAAATAAATAAAATGTCTTTTAGGGATGGGGAGCACTGGCCGTGGCAAAAAGGTACAGTACTAACCAAAGGAAACTAACCAAAGGCTACTGTGCTGTTGTTATGCTACAAACAAACATCTTCATACATTTGAGTATTAAATAAATGTGTAAGATCTTCCATACTGACACCAGAATATCAAAACTACCCCTTTGTTTCTCAGGTATATTTACAACTTATCAGTCACCTTATGAGCATGTTCATTAAGACAGGTATCAAACACCAGTATTTACTCATTCTAATCAAGAAATTTCAGGGAAATGTCAACCCTCCCGCCCCTGGAAATGTGCACAAAACTTTTTATCAAAATCTTATCTGATACAATGCTGTGGTTTTGTAAAACAACTAAATAGCTCAGACGACCAATAACATGATCCTGTTTAAGCATCTTGCTAGCAGGAAAAGCCCTTACATACAGTACACCTGGTGAAAGATCAGCTTGGCTTAAAATATTCCAGTACAATTTTCAGAGTAAACAACTTCACAGAAGTTAATTAAAAAAATAATAAAAGTCAAACTAATCTTAAAGAAACAGGAAAAAAAAAAAACCCAAAAACAGAAAGATAAACTATAGGTAAGATCACCAGGAAGGAATGCCCAGCTTTACTTTTCAAATGTTGACTGAAATTTAGGTTTCAATACAATACCTCTCACAAATCTGAGGCATGACTGGTTGAACATACTGTATAATTTCAGATACCAAGTCAAAACCATTTCAGTCACATTTTAGCAAGGCAGAAATTATTCATGTTTTTAAGAGTATGAATAAACGTTAGCCAATGTTCTACTATTACATGGTTCATAGTCTTATCAACCTAACAGTCAAAAAACAAGAAAAACTAAACCCCAACATGAAGTAACAATAAACAATATTTAACCAAGATAATGCAATGAACATCCAAAGTAATTAGTTTAAATTAAAAACCCAGCAATACCATCTTGTTAGTCAGTGCAAACGCTACATACAGGGTTTTCTCAAGACAGCTGAAAGCACCTGATTCTTTTGCCAAGTCATCAGATTCAACAATGTACAGGCTTAAATCTGCATTTTAAAAAACTGCCATTACATTAGTGCATAATTTATCAAAATTGTAAAAACGATTCTGCATAACTTAGGAGAATTTAATATCTAGTACATCAGCTGAAAGACTTAGGCACTTGGTTATATTTTTAATTAATTACTTCAACAAGTAGCCTGTGTATAAATATTAACAAAGCAGAAACTATTCTTGAAAAATGGAAAATTTTAAAAAAAATTAAATGCTACAGATAAAAGCACTGCACCACACTCCTACATATAATGCAGTAAAGAAAGCTAGTATATAACCCTGTAAAATTCTATGGTAAGAACATCTAACTTCACTCTTCAAAATTAAAAAAAGAAAAAGAAATCCATGCAAAGTTCCATGAAAAAGATAAATAAAGCAGCTGGAATGAGATGGAAACTTCTCTCAGTGAAACATAAAATAGAAATAAATAAGTTAACTAAGTCTACTTTCACTAGATGTATCATTGTAGGATCCTGCTAGTTTAATAACTGAGTTGTTAATTTTCTATAGAAGCCATTTAAAATAGGAAATGGCTCAGTTACTGCACCGGATTGCTACAAACTCATAAAAAGCTGCTTGAAGCTTAAGTTAAATGTTGTCCAAATTCCAATCACTTCTGGAAAGTGAACATGTTATCCTAGTAAAGTAAAATTTTTTTTTTCATAATGCTAATGCAAGAGGGCTTGAAGTATCAAAGAGTCCACAGGAAATGGATGCCCCCAGTAATATCTTTTTTTAAAAAAAATATACATTATATAATATATATTATATATATAAAAAGCTAGTGTAAATGCTTCCGTGGTGTGGTCACAAATTTGAAAGATGAACTTCCTTTCAGCTGTTAACCATCTTCCCATTTGCAACAGGTTTTAAAAAGTCGTTTTTATCTTCAGACATGACATGAGTTTTCAGAATGAGGTTGCCAACACTGACAGATGTGGTGATGGGGAGGCAACTTGCATTGCTAATAGACACTGCGAGTGGCTGGCTAAAGCAAGAAGTTACCGGCAGAATTGTTTTTTGCTCCTCCCTGAGTAAAAAGAAATGACATTAACAACAAATTAGCTTTAGGTGAAAACTTTTAAGAGTAACCGTACGTACTTAATAAAAACTACATCAAACTTTAGGAACCCCTAGCAAAGACATGTCTTTATTACTAGAAGTATCAGAAGTAACTAGAAAAGTCCTATTTTCCTTTTTCTGAGACAGAGTCTTGCTGTGTTACCCAGGCTGGAGTGCAGTGGCATGATCTCGGCTCTCTGCAACCTCCACCTCCTGGGTTCAAGCGATTTTCCAGCCTCAGCCTCCCGAGTAGCTGGGACCAAAGGCATGTGCCACCACACTGGTTAATTTTTGGTATTTTTAGTGGAGACTGGGTTTCACTGTGTTAGCCAGGATGGTCTCAATCTCCTGACTTCATGATCCGCCTGCCTTGGCCTCCCAAAGTTCTGGGATTACAGGCGTGAGCCACTGCACCCAGCCTGCTATTTTGTATTTTTAGTAGAGATGGGATTTCACCATGTTGGTCAGGCTGGTCTTGAACTCTTGACCTCAAATGATCCTCCAGCCTTGGCCTTCCAAAATGCTGGGATTATAGGTGTGAGCCACCAGGTCTGGCCTGAAACATCCTATTTTCCAAAAATTATGATAAAAATTAAAATACGAGTTAAAGACCACACAAAGTATCAAGTTGACGATTAAGTCCGTATCTTTGGCAGTAATTATTTAAAATGGCAGTATTATAGCCAAGAAATTTTTTTTTTAATTTGGGATGGAGTCTCGCTTTGTCACCTAGGCTGGAGTGCAGTGGTGCGATCTAGCTCACTGCAACCTCTGCCCCCCAGTTCAAGCAATTCTCCTGCCTCAGCCTCCAAGTAGCTGAGACTGTAGGTGCCTGCCCCTATGCCCAGCTTATGTTTTTTGTATTTTTGTAGATAAAAGGTTTCTCTGTGTCGGCCAGGCTCAAATCCCCAAAGTTCTGGGATTACAGGTGTGAGCCACCATACCTGGCCTAGTCAAGAAAATCTTAACATGATTTTTAAAAAGAGAAACCCTTAATCTAGGTTTTAATTCTCCATTTTGTAGTCTAGAAGTTTGGCTACCAGATTAAAGAAGCATAACCTGATGCTAGAATATAGATTATCTCAACAAAAAGCAAGTTTTAGGCTACTAAAATGGACCACTTTGTTAGTTCAATTTTACTTTTCCTTCCTAAAAATCCAGACTGACCAAATCATTACCCATATAAGATCTTCCCCTCAGAGCATAAAGCCAAAAATGAATTTAACATCTGTTTCTCTTTATTATGCCCTATGCCCACTGGTTATGAATTTTCTGTCTAACACTCACAGAATCACATGGTCTTCACCTAAACTCTGTTTCTTCTGCTTTGGTGGCTCCTTTTGGTGCTGCTGCACTGGATGCCCATTTTCCACTGCCGTTCCATTTAGCAACTGATCATTTTGAGAACTGATGCCAAGCTGTATGTCCAGGATCTCCTAATAAAATAAAATATTAATCCTTCAGTATGAAAGTTTTATACTTTTAAATTTTCAATTGAACAAAGCCTCTCAATTATCTAATTGTGGCACTTACTTCAATTGGTTCACTTTGACCATCAGGTTCATCAGTATCAAGTGCTGAAAGCTCTAACTCGATATCCCTATCAGGTTTAGTATCTGTTGCATCTTCTGTATAATCACTCTGTAACTAAGAAAAATACTGATTTTATGCTTGTGGAACCTGGGGCTTCTCTTTTAAATTAAAACAAAAAATCCCAATGATCAGCCAGGCACAGTGGCTCACACCTTGTAATCCCAGCACTTTGCGAAGCTGAGGCAGGAGGATCATTTGAGGTCAGGAGTTCAAGACCAGCCTGGCCAATATGGTGAAACCCTGTCTCTACTGAAAATACAAAAATTAGCTTGTCGTGGTGGTGGGTGCCTGTAATCCCAGCTACTTGGGAGGCTGAGGCAGGAGAATCACTTGAACCTGGGAGTCAGAGGCTGCAGTGAGCTGAGATCACACCACTGCATTCCAAACAATAGAGTAAGATTTCGTCTCAAAAAGAAAACAACAACAACAAAACATCCCAGTGATCTAGTTAAAGAATTATTTAAGAAATCTAGGACTACAATTTTATTTCTATTATAAGTTTTAAAAGCAATCCGTCATCCATCAGAGACAGACACACCAAAATGCACTCAGTAATGGTATAACCAATATGCAACAGCAGAAAACAAATACATTAAGCAAGAAGACAAAAGGTTCAGTTTCTTTACCTCTCCATTTCTCAGTTCAATTTCCTTGCTTAAAAGATTTAAGGTAAGGTGACGGCCTTCATCCAGGGAATTCCACTTTTGTTGCATGGCCAAAGCATTGGCCTCTCTCTGAAGAAGTAATGAGTTGCTCTTGGCCTATATGAGGAGAGAAAAAAAGTAAACCATAGCTTTCAACTGTCATTCTATTTTTAAAAAATTAATAGCTGAGTTACAGAGCCTACCTGCTGAAGTTCAAGGCTCAAAAGGTCCCCAGTACTGGAATGCTTTCTATGACCAGACAAATCAGTAACAATGAATCTGTCCCTTTAAAGAGAAAGATGTTTACTGTAATAAAAGTGAAGTGAATGAAGCAACAAAAGCAGAAATAACCATATGTTTTATCTGACACATCAACCCTGAAAACTTGAGTCATCATTCCAAATGTAAAAGCAAATATTTTTCAGAAATGGGTTACATAGCTAAGACAAGCAAAGCACATTTCATGAACTGGGGGTAGGAGGTATACTCTTAAGATACATACAAGTCTGAGAATGCAGAATCCTATAGAATTAAGAAAAAACATTACCTTTCAATATAATGTGCTGATGATGTGGCCTCGTTGCCATATGAACTCCACCTTGAATCAACAGCATTGACATAAGGTACATAATCTACAGACAGGAAAGAAACAATGATCAAAAAAGTGAAAAATCAGTGTACTGATGTGACTGTGTACTTCTAAAAATAGATCTGTATTCTATCCCACTGGCCATATGATGCTGTTAAACTACCTAATTCTGAGTTTCCTATGGTTATTAAATTAAAGGAAATGTTTTCCACCTCACAAATTGGGGATTAAAATGCAAGTGCCTGGGTCGGGCACAGTGGCTCATACCTGTAATCCCAGCACTTTGAGAGGCTGAGGTGGGTGCCTCACATGGGGCCAGGAGTTCCAGCCCAGCCTGGTCAACATGGTAAAACTAAAATACAAAATACTCTTTACTAAAACTACAAAAATTAACCAGGCGCGGTGATGCACATCTGCAATCCCAGCTACTCGGGAGGCTGAGGCAGGAGAATCGCTTGAACTCAGGATGGAGGTTGCAGTAAGCCGAGATCATGCTACTGCACTCCAGTCTGGGTGACAAAGTGAGATTCTGTCTCAATTAAAAAAAAAAAAAAAGCATAGTTCTTAGAACCTATCAGGCTAGGTATCATGTAAATGGATTACCTGATACACTGATGGGCTTAGTCGCACTTCCTTGGGAAGCAGTGGCCTGAACGGGATCTGTGGTATGGTAACCTGTACGGGAAGATCTGGAAATTGCACCCCATTTTGAGATGATGGGTCCATCACTAAAGGGAATTATTGGATCTTCTTCTTTTGTCCTTCTCTGAGTTTCAAATAGATGTACTCTTCTTTTAACATCACCACTGTCCAGGTCCTATATAAACAAAAGAAAATCAACAAAAGGACTGTTGGCAATTACTTCAGCTAGTAAATATAAGCTATCAAAAGACATGTAATTAGATTTTTTGGCAAATTTAAAACTAGCTCTAGACATCAATGATAATCCAACAAACTGCATTAAACCACCAATGTTCAAATGATTTAAACATTAATTTATTTCAGACTTACCTAAATATACCCTGCTAATGATGAGTTACAAGGCAACAATATGAATGAATAGACAGAAAACATTCATTCTACAACTTGAGTGAACATGCATCATCTCTCACCTCCACCCCTGCAACCCCAGCAAAATCATACCATTAACACAGCATTTGAATTAGCAATTACATCTTTGGGCTCTGAATCGATGGCATTTATACAGGAGCCTATGGTGCCACAAGACCACGGAGAATAATGGGAAAGATTATCTTCTTCAAATTTTGTACCACTCACACTCTCTGAGAACTGGTTAAAAAATCAAAAATAGAAATAAAGCCAATTAGTAAGAAGCTTAAATTTATACTTACATTATAAATGTAGATTTTATATTATTTATATTTTATATTAAATTTGTATTAGTTACCTGTAACTAATATAAAGTAACTATTATAGAATTCAGAGGACTTCATACTGAACAATTTTACTCTTTCAATAACTAATATAAAAAACTGTAATAAACAACAAATGGTATTTTTACAATAGAAAATGGCATGCTTTCCCTTTTCACTTTGTCCTTTAAGTGCTCATATGGAACATCTGACTAATAACTATCAAAAACAATTAACAAATATTTATAGTATGCTACTAATATGGTATTGGGTGCTCCAAGAAAAAAAAACAGAGAAAACAAATACATAGATACACACAGAGATCACAGTCCATATCCTAAAGGAGTTTATAATTTTCTTTTGAGACAGGGTCTTACTCCCACCTCCCAGGCTAGCAGGCAGTGGGGTGATCACAGTTCACTGCAGCCTCAACTTCCCGGGCTCAGGTGATTTTCCCAACTTAGCTTCCCAAGTAGCTGGTACTACAAGTATGTGCCACTACGCCCAGACAATTTTTTGTCTATTTTTAGTAGAGATGGGGTTTTGTCATGTTGCCTAGGCTGGTTTCAAACTCCTGGGCTCAAGCAATCCACCCACTTCAAACTTCTAAAGTGCTGGGATTATGGGCATGAGCCACTGCACCCAGCTGAGTTTATAATTTTCTTGAGAAAAAGAACACCATGTGCAAATAAGGGAATATAACTGATAAATTATGCAGTATCAGGTAAAGAACAAAAGGAATTCAAAGAAGGCTTTGGAGCTAAAGGAGAAATAAATTTTAAATGGACGTGAATAAGAATACTATAGGACCAAAATACAAAAGTTGTAAAAATTATTAAATCTAGTTTACTAATTATTCAGATAAAAAAAAACTCAAGGCCAAAAAGGTTAAATAGTTTTTTTTAAGTCAAACGCAGCAGATCTGAGTCTCAGAGAAATAATGATTTCCTGAAGCCCAGTATGTCGAAAAAGAAAATACAAGCAGCATCTATAAAGCAAGTGGCAGCTCTGTCACTCTGTCGTCAAGATATTTACCTGCTGCCGGGCGCGGTGGCTCAAGCCTGTAATCCCAGCACTTTGGGAGGCCGAGGCGGGTGGATCACGAGGTCAAGAGATCGAGACCATCCTGGTCAACATGGTGAAACCCCGTCTCTACTAAAAGTGCAAAAAATTAGCTGGGCATGGTGGCACGTGCCTGTAATCCCAGCTACTCAGGAGGCTGAGGCAGGAGAATTGCCTGAGCCCAGGAGGCGGAGGTTGCGGTGAGCCGAGATCGCGCCATTGCACTCCAGCCTGGGTAACAAGGGCGAAACTCCGTCTCAAAAAAAAAAAAAAAAAAAAAAAAAATATTTACCTGCTTTGACAAGACCAATTTGGATCTGGTTTAAAAATTCAATGCTTTACTGAAATATTTATGGGTTAAAAAATATAATGCCTAACATTACTTCAAAACAATCCAGTGGGAAGAAGGGGTACAAATAAGACAGTATTGACTGAGTTGATAACTGTGGAACCTGGGTGTTGGGTACAAGTTATTATGTTATTCTTTCTATACTTGCATATGTTTGAAATTTTTTATAATGAAAAGATTTTAACATTTTTAATATCATAACTTCAGGGATGGGGAATAAACCGGAAGAAACTTTAAAAAGAAATTAATGGTTTTCTCTAAATATAACAGTACTGAAAACATCATATTAAATTAAAATCATCTTGGTATAAAAATTTATTTTGTAATGCCAAAAACAATAATTAAAGTGATGTAAAGAGCATAAAAAATACCGTAGGTATTTCTGCATCTCTTGTGAAGTAGGGAAGAAATAACCTCAGATAGCCCAGGATTCAAATCCCAGCTATTTAAAGGCTGAATGATCTTGGGCAAATTAATTTAACTTCTGTGAGTAGGACTCCTACCTTGTCAAATATGGAAAATACCTGCCCCCTAAGGGTTTTGTGAGAATTAAATAAAATAGCTTTATGCAATTGCTTAGTACAGTACTGGCAAATGGCTTTATGAGTAGGTGCTCAATAAATGATAGATATAAATCACACTAAATAAAAAACCATAAAATAACTATATTACTGGAAAGATTTTGAATTCTTGGTAAAGGACTATGGGTTAATGGTCTTCAGAGTCTCATAACACCTAGCCGTAGTGCACATATATTCAGTGTTTATTGAACTAAACTCAACTGCACACCAAACCATTGCAAAATATCCAACATAGCCAATCCTGGTTTGAATGAGTAATTTGAAATCAGCGATTTGACCTATCCCTGCAACATCAAGTAATTAAAACCCTTCTTACATCCGCACGAAAGTCTACACTGAATAGAGGAGAAGGTGGTGTTGGTGACTGTGTTGCCACAGGAAGAGTTGAAGAGACAAGAGGTGCTTTCTGAGTGTGGTACTGTGCCCACTGATCTGGCTTTCTTCTTATCTGCTCCTCGCAACTGGTCTTCAAATGACCACAAGGTTCCTAATGGGGGATAAAAGAAACAATCTTAATCATCTAGGGAGTGGTCAATAATTTAACTGTGTGAAAATAATGTAAACAGTTTATGATATTGTTGGGATAAAAAAATACAGCAGGGAAAGTCACCCTAGTCTGTTCTCCATACACTGAAATAAAAAGGTTTAATATTTATTCAACTGATGTTAAAAGCAAAATCTGAGCACTCACTTTTCTGGTTTAGGAAAGTCATTTGTATATATGTGGTGATACTGAAAAAAGGCCCTAACCTTGTATTTTTAAGATTTCTTTCAACTTTCCCAACAATTTCCTATCCAAACATAACATTTATTGAGCATTAACATGTATCAGGCCCAGTTCTAAAAGGTTTGATTTCTAATTTAATTCTCACAACAGCCTTATGAGGTAGGTACTACTATTATTTCCATCAAATGAAAGAACTGAGGCATCAAGAGGTCAAGTAAATTCCCTGTCACACAATTAGTAAGTGGAAGAGCCAGGATATCTACCTGGGTGGTTTGACTCCAGACACTGGGATCTTAATGACTACATTATAGTAGCACTCCTATTTCCATCATCACTTACCCTTGGTAAAGGCACAGTTGTCCTTGGCTCACTTGGTGGCTGACAAGCCACCGAGTAATATCCATCTAATGAGTTATATCTTTCCCGCAAAGATGTCTGATAGACAGATGAGTGCATCACATCCATTGGAGGTAAAGAATTGCTTCTAATAATGTCATCTCGTTGGTACATAGGTGGGCGCCAGATGCGCCTGCTGTCGTACACAGGAGCGTACATTCCAGAAGGTACTGGAGGAACTGGTCCATACGGCTGCGGAGGAGGAGGTTGGTAAGGAGAAGAATTCATTCGATCTCGAGGGGAAAATGTACTGTAATGATCGGCATATGGCATGGAAGCAGGTGGGAGGGAGGACTCTGGAACATTATTGGACCTCACAAAGCGAGGAACACAGGGAGCCACACCAGCTGGTACCGTTGGAGGTGGTGGATAGTATCCTTGAAAATTGGAAAGAGGAATATTTAATGTAATCTTAGTACAATCCAACATTTTATAATGGCTTAAATCTAACGCAGTCCTTAATGCAGGAAAATATAGTAAGCTGTGAACCTTACCTTATCCTGCTTTATAAAGCTTTATACAGTGCTTTTTTTTGGGAGGGTGGGTGGTAGAGACAGAGTCTCACTATGATACCCAGGCTGGTCTTGAACTCCTGGGTTCAAGCGATTTTCCTGGTTGGGCCTCCCAGAGTGCTGGGATTACAGGTGTGAGCCACCATGCCTGACCATAAGCTATGTATTTTCAAGATATCACTATATGAAAATCATTAACATTCAATACTTTGTTAAAGTGCTCCTTAAAACACACGACAGAGCTATTAATATATGGCTGGCAAATATCCTATTGCCACTGGTTTTTGATCAAATAATCAGTTACATCATTGATTTTTATTAACCATTTTGGGAAAAGAGGTTAAAGACCTCTTTCAAAATCTATATAAGTTGTTCATTGTATTTTCAAAATTGCATATAAGCATACATAAACTTTTTTTAACATCATTTTAGGGAACTTACAGAAAACCCCCTGAAGTTCATTCCTGAACATATATTTGATTTGTAAGAATGACAACCTTAAAGCTGTTAGTATTTAGAACCACAGATCCTTAGGGGAAGGAAGAAAACTTAAAAGTCATATAGTCAAAAGGGTTAATTTTTTAAATGTAGACATTCTAGAACTATTCACTCATTTATCTAAGGGAAACAATATATCTTTTTTTCTTAGAATTGTTTGAAATTACTCACCTGTCTGTGGGTACTGTGGAACTTCAAAGGGTATCTGAGTCCTTGGATCTTGAAAATACTGAACGTTTTCAGAATGCGGAGGATATACTGGCACTCTAGTTAGAAATGGGCTGGATTTTGGAGGCACAGAATTCAGCTCTGCTCCAACATTAGAGGGCCCAGCTGAGGTAGCTGCTACATTACTTACAGGAGTCTTGGGTGGAGAACCAATTTTACTGGAGAGAAAATTTAACAAAGGGCAAAGGATAAATCACTGTCTATCATTGTCCTCCTTAGTAGAAATTTTTAGTAAAATTATATTCTGAAACCACTAATAGAAAACATTTCAGATATTGCCACATTGACAAATAAATCAATGAATTTCACTGCCACCTTACAGAGCTAATTTACATGATCATGGTAACAGATGTCATATTCTGGTGTGGGCCACAGGGAATAAAAACAATTCCCAGATATTAATATGACTCATCAGTTGCCATTTACCCAAATTTTTTTTTTTTTTTTTTGAGACAGGGTATCACTCTGTCACCCAGGCTGGAGTGCACTGGCACAATCATAGTAACAGCTCACTGCAGCCTTGACCTCCTGGGTCTAAGTGATCCTCCCACATCAGCCTCCAAAGCAGATGGGACTACAAGTATGCGCCACCATAACGGGCTAATTTTTAATAGATTTGCTGCTCAGGAGGGTCTCAAACTCCTGGGCTCAGGCAATTCTCCCACCTTGGCCTCATAAAATGCTGGAATTACAGGCATGAGACACCGTGCCAAGCCACTACTCATTCTTAAAACAAAGATTTTTCCCTATTGAAGGTTAAAAAAAAAATCTGGTCAGTAAGTTCTCAACAGAAATAATATAGTCCACTAGTAGAATTCTTTGGGACAAAGAAAATAGACATGTTAAGAAAGGGGCTGTTTTCTATGAGGAGTTAGATTAGCTGAAATATAAGCTCCTTGAGGAAAGACCACTTTGTTTATTTTGAAAACTCCTATATCCCAGCACACAGAACAGCTCCTGGCAGAGTAGGCACTTTGTAAATATTTGTTGGACAAATAAAACTGTTCCTGGCATGCAGTAGGTACTCAGTAAATAGTTGCTGGATGAATGAAATGGTAACTCATCAAACTGATGACGCAAAACACACCAACCTATTATTATTATTAACACAAAATAATTTTCTTGGTTGAGTCACTAAGTAATTAGCTCGAGAGGATCCAATTATGACTTTCTTAACCACTTTTAAGAAGTAAATGTTGACAGAGCTTTAGATATGTGACGACTGAAGAAAATGATCTTGTTAATTATGCAGGAACTCAATACTGCATCTCAACCAGATTAGAGGGTTTTTCTCAAACTAGAAAAAGCATTTTAAAGCTAGGGCATAAATAAAAGGTATATGGGCTGTCTTTAAGTTTAACACAGATTAGTCTAGCAGATGTTTACTTCTACGTGTAATTGCGTACTAAAATGTAAAAAAATAAGGAAGTATAAATAATAATAGTAGGTACAAATGTATGGGTTTGGAGTATAAAGATATTTTAGAGCTGTGCTTATTCTTTACTTAAGTAAAATAGAGACAACAAGGAAAATGATTAGGATTTCCTTAAAACAATAATAACTAATATTTATCAAGTAGCTATTTGAGTCTATTCCAGGCACTATGCTTCACAGAGATTATCTGGTCCCTCCGGGTCAAAATGTGATATACCCTAAAATTTGGATGAGTACTTTCAAACAGTAAACTCACAGACTTATCAGCAAAAAGGCAACAGGATCTACGATAAAGTAAACATTCACAGCCTCATGAAATCATGCAAGCTATCTTTGAACTTAAGGAAAAAAGCTAATCTTCAATCACATCCTAGTCAGAATTAGATCACTACCCTAGATGACTTTCAGGATTCTAGTCTCTTCCCATGGCAGCTTCTCTTATACCTTATTGATTTTGCCTGTGCTGCCTTCTCCAGCTACAGGTCCTTCCTTCTTTCCTATCTATACTTTTGGAAACAGCCCAGGTATCATCACTTCACCTATAAGAAGCTATCCACAATACCTCTAACAGAATTCGTTCTTCTTTTTCCTGTGTTCCAGTAACAACTGGAACAATGGTGTTCCAATAAAAATTTAATTTATTTTTATTTATTTTTCTGAGACGGAGTCTCACCCCCATTGCCCAGGCTGGAATACAGTGATGCAGTTTCAGCTCACTGCAACCTCCACCTCCTGGGTTCAAGCAATTCTCCTTGAACCCAGGAGGTGGAGGGTTCAAGGTGTTGGGAGATGCCACACCCAGTGATTTATTTTTTAGAAAGTTTTTACTAGCTGGGCATGGTGGCTCACACCTGTAATCCCAGCACTTTGGGAAGCTGAGGTGGGCAGTTCACATGGTCAGGAGTACGAGAGCAGCCTGGCCAACATGGCAAAACCCCATCTCTATTAAAAATATAAAAATTAGCTAGGCCTGGTGGCAGGTGCCTATAATCCCAGCTACTTGGGAGGCTGAGGCAGAAGAATCACTTCGACCTAGGAGATGGAGGTTGCAGTGAGCCGAGATCACCGCATTGCATTCCAGCATGAGTGACAGAGTGAGACTCCATCTCAAAAAGAAAAAAAGTTTCTATCCTAGTTCATTTTGTTTAAAAATGGAGATATATTATTATTATTCATTATTTTAGGATGCACAATTCAGTAATTTTTAGTATATTCACAAGGTTGTCCAATTATCACCACTATCTAATTCTGAAACATTTTCATCATCCCCAAGAGAAACCTGTACCCATTAGCATTTACTCCCCATTCCCGTCCCAACCCTAAACCCCTAGAAAGCATTAATCTACTTCCTGTCTCTATGAATTTGCCTATTCTGGACATTTAACATAAATGAAACCATATGTGACCTTTTGTATCTGGCTTCTTTCATTTAGCATGTTTTAAAGGTTCATCCATGTTATAGCACCTAATAATACTTCATTCCTTTTTTATGGCTGAATAATATTTCATTGTATAAATGTAAAACAGTTTTACAACATTACCTTGCCAAAACTTTTCAAAAGCTTATTTCCTAAGCATGTATACATAAGGTATTAATAATCTGGTGCAAACCTATCTAATCTTATTTTACAGTAGTCCCTAACATAAGCCTTCAGATCCGAAAGGCTGGTCCCCTTAGTATTCCATATAATTACAAACAGATTTTTTTTTTTTTTTTTTTTTTTTTTTTTTTTTGAGACGGAGTTTCGCTCTTGTTACCCAGGCTGGAGTGCAATGGCGCAATCTTGGCTCACCACAACCTCCGCCTCCTGGGTTCAGGCAATTCTCCTGCCTCAGCCTCCTGAGTAGCTGGGATTACAGGCACGTGCCACCATGCCCAGCTAATTTTTTGTATTTTTAGGAGAGACGGGGTTTCACCATGTTGACCTGGATGGTCTAGATCTCTTGACCTCGTGATCTACCCGCCTCAGCCTCCCAAAGTGCTGGGATTACAGGCTTGAGCCACCGCGCCTGGCCGACAATTCAAACAGATTTAATCCATGTTATGTTGTTCTTTTTTTCTGTAATTTCCCATATTTCTCTCAGCAATATAAAATTTTTGTCCTTTAATTCATCTTCAGTATTGTTTCATATGACATGCTATTTCTACAACTATATCATAACTCCCTTAAAAGCAAAGATATCCTATGTTTCATGTGCCAAAAACAGAGCTCCAAGACTGAGTGCATAAATAACATTTGTTAACTAGACAATGTTCTCAGATATATCTTTTCTAAAATCTTGCCCAGGGAAGACTGTAAAAGTCCTTTACTAAACAATTTCCCCCATCATATGCTGACTGCAGAAATAGCAAATGTTACTGTTTATCCATCCATTATTCATTGCTATGTGCCTAGCATGATGTTTTTTTCATAGCAGGCATAAAATAGATGCTGATAGACTATTTTTAGGCAACAAAATCTGAATATCAATATACTGATGAATATTTTATTACATCTTACTCAAGATTTTAGAGTTGGAAATAACTTTCAGATCATCTGAAAATTAAAAAATCTTTTTCTAAAGGCACCAAAACCCTTTGAAAAACAAAATGTTATGCTGACACACAATAACAATTAAGTGATAATAATAATAAAGCAAATATTTACTAAGTGCTTACTATCTGGCAGGCATTGTTCAAAGCATACTGGAATATCCATTCACTTAACCCTCACAACCAGCATATGAAGCTGATACCATTATAACTCTAGTTTTATGAATTAGTAAACTAAGGTAGACAGATTAAGTAAATGGCCTAAGATCAAACAGCTGGGAAACCATAAACCAGAACTTGAGCCCAGAGATTCTGGCTCCAAAGTGTCCCCTCCTAAGTGCTACACCTCTTAAGTGAAAGTGCTCTAACTGAAACAGAGCTAGAGGCTCAGCATTTTACCTGCTTAGGTTTCTATTTAGTTATTTTCTAGAACCTCTATGGAATCAACACTACAGTTCAAGAAATTAAGATGTGAAAAAAACAAATTCTGGTCCAGTCTCTGGTGTACAGTTGAGGAAAACAAAACTCAGAGTTAAAGTCACTTTCCAAGTTCACAGGGCTATTCAGTTGCAGAGCCAAACTAGAACTCAAATTTTTTAGTATTTAGTGTTTTTTCTATATCAAGAAAAATTTTGCATAAAAATTCTGATTAACTAGTATTCTTCAGGAGAAATAAAAACACGCAGGCATTTCTAAAAAGGAAAAAAAAAATTCTATTAATTGTTTTTACCTAATACCTACTTTTCAGTTACAGAATCTGCAGAGGGCCCAGGAGCATTCTGACCATTAGTGCCAACCTTTCCCACTTTCTTCACGGTCTCCAGAGCTCTTAAGGTACTGTCAGTACTACGTGAGATTAGCTGGGAAACACTGTTTTCTGCATTTGAAATTCCATTTGTACTTGCAACAATTTTCCCTGTTGTTTCGGTACTTCCTATGACAGAAATGACATTTCCGGCTGTGGTTGTAACAGTGTTGTTTACACCAACTTTATTTAGAAGAGGAAACGTTCTTACAGTGGCATTGATCTTTTTGTTCCTTAATCGATACCTGTTTCAAAAACAATCAACATATTGGTGAATATTTTACTAAATCTCACTCAAGAAAAAATACGGCAATAGGCAGTGGGAAAAGATTGAAAAACGAGAAAACAGCTTTGACAAAAAGTTTCTTCAGCTAAATAATCAAATAAAGTCTATGTATCAAATTCTACTGCAACAGACCCCACATGAAAATATATGTCATTCACATATGTATATAATATATATGTAATAAATACAGCAAGCAGAGTATACGTGTATTCTTTTTTTTTCCCCCATGCCACTTTGTCCAAGAAGGTATTCAAAGAAACCTTTTGAAGGAGTGAAAAGAGATCATTTGAAAATTTTGTATAACTAGAATATAAAGTGCATTATGTAAAAATGACAAGAACTGGCAGCAAATCTGGTTAAGAATACAGAGTAAAGAGAAAAGGTATGCAAGAGCTGAAGCCACTCTCTGCTGTTACCAAACTGTTTAAGAATTTTTAAAAATAATTTTGCCGGGCGCGGTGGCTCAAGCCTGTAATCCCAGCACTTTGGGAGGCCGAGGCGGGTGGATCACGAGGTCAAGAGATCGAGACCATCCTGGTCAACATGGTGAAACCCCGTCTCTACTAAAAATACAAAAAATTAGCTGGGCATGGTGGCGCGTGCCTGTAATCCCAGCTACTCAGGAGGCTGAGGCAGGAGAATTGCCTGAACCCAGGGGGCGGAGGTTGCGGTGAGCCGAGATCGCGCCATTGCACTCCAGCCTGGGTAACAAGAGCGAAACTCCGTCTCACAAAAAATAAATAAATAAATAATAATAATAATAATTTAAAAAACTCATTTCTAAACAAACATTACACAAAACTGCAGAAAATCTGTATTATATTTTTCAGATTAGTTTATACCTAAAGTTAAAAACATTTGTATTAAAGATTTTTCTGATACTGTTTTGAATATTATTTATGGTGATCATTGTATATAATACTCTAATACACAAAAGGACTGGCAATTTGATTTTGGATTCCATTTAAGAAAATTTGTTTCTCCTTTTTTTTTTTTTTGAGACGGAGTTTCGCCCTTGTTACCCAGGCTGGAGTGCAATGGCGCGATCTCGGCTCACCGCAACCTCCTCCTCCTGGGCTCAGGCAATTCTCCTGCCTCAGCCTCCTGAGTAGCTGGGATTACAGGCACGTGCCACCATGCCCAGCTAATTTTTTGCACTTTTAGTAGGGACGGGGTTTCACCATGTTGACCAGGATGGTCTCGACCTTTCGACCTCGTGATCCACCCGCCTCGGCCTCCCAAAGTGCTGGGATTACAGGCTTGAGCCACCGCGCCTGGCTGTTTCTCGTTTTATATCAAAATTTCATTATAATGTAATTCTTAACAACGTTCCCTCCAATTTTTTTTTTTTTTTTTTTTTTTTTGAGACAAAGTTCCACTCTTGTCACCCAGGCTGGAGTGCAATGGCGCAATCTTGGCTCACTGAAACCTCTGCCTCCTGGGTTCAAGTGACTGTCCTGCCTCAGCCTCCCAAGTAGCTGGCATTATAGGTACATGCGCATCACCACACCTGGTTAATTTTTGTATTTTTAGTAGAGATGGGGTTTTGTCATGTTGGCCAGGCTTGTCTTGAACTCCTGACCTCAGGTGATCTGCCCTCTTCGGCATCCCAAAGTGCTGGGATTACAGGCGTGAGCCACCATGCCTGGCCTCTCCAATATTTTTAAAGCAGTGAAAAACCAAGTTCATGAACAGAAGGAAGACTATACATATTTGAGGTCATAATTATATATGCCTAAAGTAATCTGTTATTAATATCATATATAAACATAGAGTAATTAAATATAAATAGTGTTAGTAATAAGCAATGCCTTCACAATAGTTTCCCTTTTACTCCTCTGGTATCTATTAACAGCTTCATTATTCAATCTTCTCTTTTCCTTCTCTTTAACATGCACATGTTGGCAGAGGAAGGTGAAGCTCAATGAAAGACAAGTTCTCCCAGATTAGACTGACTGAAAGTGAATTAACAGAATATTAAAAAACAATAACAAAAAAAATAGGTGATGGCCAGTTTACATGTTCTCTCTCTCTCTCTCCTTTTTTTATTATTACTTTTTTTGAGACAGTTTTCCTGTTGTCAACCAGGCTAGAGTGCGATGGTGTGATCTCAGCTCACTGCAACCTTTGCCTCCCAGTTAAAGCAATTCTCCTGCCTCAGTTTCCCAAGTTGCTGGCATTCCAGGCACCCGCCACCACACCTGGCTAATTTTTGTATTTTCTGTAGAGATGGGGTTTCACCATGTGGGCCAGGGTGGTCTCGAACTCCTGACCTCAAGTGATCCACGCACCTTTGCCTCCAACATGCTGAGATTATAGGCATGAGCCACTGTGCCTGGCCAACATCATCTTACAGATACCAGGAAAACCAATAATTACTTCTTTTAAGAAGGAAGGGCCTGAGCAGACCTATATTTTAGGAAGGCAATCTGGAGGGGCCCAAAGATCCCTATGCCTTCCTCCAGATTCTCTCTGAAACCTACTCTCATTATGCTTTTCCTCAGAGTTCTTATACAAAATACCCAATGTCTCCTTGCTTTCCAGCCTCCAAAAACAAAACTTAGATAATCCACAAGGTTGCTCTAGAAAGCAAAAAATAAAGTTTTGACTATGAACTGAAAAGACAGGAATCAGGAGAAATAAAACCTTAACCAAATGAGGTAAAGTAAGTGACAAGTAGGGATATATATTGGACTCAGCATTTGGGCAGCTAAAGGTTGCCTATTCAGAGACACTGTTGCCCAGACTGTCTTAGATCCTAAACTCAAGTGATCCTCCTAGCTCTGCCTCCAGAGTAGCTGGGACTACAGGTGTGCACCACTATGCCTAACTCTCCCCATTCCTTTTAAATCTCTTCTTACCCACCTAGTAGCTACCCTTAATTCCTCACTTGTAAATACCTTTTAACTCCCTTGATCCACTCCCTCTGTATAACTCATTTGGTAAAACCTCAACCCTGTTCCCAAGAAGCTAAATGTTGGAGAAAAATTGTGCAATCATGCTGTCTATAATCTCTTCAAAATTATAAATAAGCAATTCGTTAATATGCTTCTTTACTAAGTTCATTTTCCCATCTCTAAGAGCCTTTTTCCCCACTACTTTCAACCACCCCTCCTACAGCAAGATGATACTGTCTCCCACTTAACCATGAAAACAGATGAAAGCAGAGAATTACTTATCTTTTCACTACCAATTCCAGTAACCTTCCTGTACTTGTAGCCACATATTCCTCTTAAAGATAAGGGACAATGAGTTCCTGTTCCTGACTAAAGCTAGTCTCACCACCTGTTGCCAAGGTCTCAAGCCTATATGCCTTCCTCTAAGACTTCACTTAAGTAACTATCTTTTTTTCTCTTGGGCACCTTTTTGGACTATCTGCTCAAATGTTGTATTTTCTAAGAGTCTTTTCTGGACTATCCTATCTAAGAGATCTCCCCTTTCTCAATCATTCTTTTTCTCCTTTGGGTATTTTTTTATACTGCCTGTCATTACAACATTTTATGCTATATCTATTTATTTTATATCTTTTTACTACAATATAAGCCTCCCAAGAGGATAAGAATTTTGCCTTTCTTGCATCTCTCTACCTTTAGCACAGTGCCTCATACATCCTAAGTGTTCAATTACTATTACTATTTTATTTCAAAGGCAGGGTCTCCATCACCCAGGCAGGGGTGAGCCACTATGCCCAGCCAGTTTTTTTTTTTTTTTTTTTGTAGTAGAGACAAGGTCTTGCTATGCTCAAACTCCTGAGCTCAAGTGATCTTCCTGCCTCAGCCTTTCAAAGTACTGGAATTACAGGCATGAGCTACCTCACCCGACACCCAATTATTATTTGTTTCATGAATACAGAATAAGTTTCAAACTTCATATGGCCAAGAAAACTACTGATTTTCTGCCCTGATGCATTTCCCATTTCAGTAAGAGACTACTCAGTTATGCAGGCTCCATACCTTGGCATTATCCTTGATTCCCCTCTTTTCTTTATAGCCCACATTCAACTGGTCCATGTTGTCAGCTCTACTTCCAAAGTATATCCTAAATATGACTACTTTTTATCATTTCCATTGCTATATTCCTACCTGAGCTACCAAAATTGCACCTGTGGACCACTGTGGAAGTTTAACTTGTTTCTATCCATGTAGACACCAGAGTGATATGTCTAAGACAAAATGAAAATCTCCTCATTCCATTTAAATAACTATTACTTCCTATTGCAACTAGAATAAATCCAAATTCTTTGCCATGGCCAAAACTGTTTATTTACATGTTTATTGTTCCTCTTTTTCCATTAGAAACGTCTTGAATAGTATCTACTATAAAATAATCTTTTTTTTTTTTTTTTTTTTTGAGACAGAGTCTCACTCTGTCACCCAGGTGCAGTGGTGCAATCTCAGCTCATTGCAACCTCCAACTCCCAGGTTCACATGATTCTTGTGCCTCAGCCTCCCCAGCAGCTGGGATTACATTCGTGTACCACCACGCCTGGCTAATTTTTGTGTTTTTAGTATAGACAGGGATTCCCCTCCCCCCTCCCCCTGTTGGCCTCACTGGTCTCAAACTCCTGACCTAAAGTGATTAACTGCCTCAGAATTCTGAAGTGCTGGGATTACAAGTGTGAGCCACTGTGCCTGGCCACTATTTGTTGAGTTGGTTGATCCCTTTTGACACTCCCCAGAATACAGCAATTCTTAGGAACATGACCTCAACATCCTAGTTCTAAAATATATCCACATAAATATTTACATAGTATTTATTTTACATATTTAATGTTATAATAAATACATATTCTAAGAAGGGATTATTGGGCATCCGCATCCACATTTTGTTTGGTTAGAGGAGTGTATAATAGAAAAAGAAAATATGGGTAAAATTAATTTATTTAAGTTAAACATTTGCTGAGTTTCTGGTGTTATGTGAATGAAGACAAATGGCCTATCCTTGAAAAGCTCAGAGTGAGGTAGCAACATGCATTTTTTCAACCAAAAGGACAGTGACATCACCTACTTCTCTAATCTTCTGTATTATCTGTTTGTTTAAAAAGCAACAGAGAGTGTGAAGCTGGTTGGAAATAATAACTGTATATTATTTTTTTCCTCCACATAAATATACTGAATTTGTGTATCTGTTATTTTCTAGAAGCAGGAAATATACAGATGAATAACCCTTGCCAGGGACCAGGGCTAGCACCTGTAATCCCAGCACTTTGGGAGGCTGAGGCAGGCTGACTGTTTGAGCTCAGGAGTTTGAGACTAGCCTGGGCAACATGGGGAAACCCCATCTCTACAAAAAATACAAAAGAAATTTAGCTAGGCATGGTCCCAGCTACTTAGGGGCTGAGATGGAAGAATCACCTGAGCCTGGGAGGCAGAGGTTGCAGTGAACCAAGACCATACCACTGCACTATAGAGAAAGGTCCTGTCTCAAAGAAAAAACAAAAACCCGAGGGATAAATGAAGTGCAGTGAAAATATACGTATCAATAAACAATTGTAATACTGTAGTTTTATAACTATACCATAATTTTTAAACTACTATGTATAGAGTGCTATGGCAGCACAGTGAAAGATACAATTAACAGTGCCTAGGGAAGTCTGCAGAGGGAAGGTAATATCTGAGTATGATTAGAAATAGCTCTCCAGATAAAGAAGAGAGAGAAAATAATACTATATGGAGTAAACAATACAGAAAAGTGAAAAGAAAAGTAAAAAATTATTTACCTAGTAATCAACAGTGATTGATTGAATGTACCTTAAAAACAAAGTACACAAATGGTGGAGTAGGGCTAGAGTACAAAATCAGGATGAAAGTCTGTGATGTACTAAGGAACCAATTAAGAATTTAAAGGAGATACACATATTTTAGAAAGAAAATCGTGGAAATGGAAAGGACAGGCTGAGATATAGGAAGACACTGTATAAAAAGCCACTGAAGCAGTAAAACAAGTAAACTGGATTACCATGTGAAACACTAAAAATGCAACCAATAATTTGGCTGTTATTTTTGAATGAATGAGATTTTATTTATTATTTATTTTTATTAATCAATTTATTATTTTTATTTCTTTATTTTTTTGAGACAGAGTCTCGCTCTGTTGCCCAAGTTGTAATATAAAGTGATGCCAGCCTCAACTTCCCAGGTTCAAGCAATCTCAGTTCATGGCAGCCCCAACTTCCCAGGTTCAAGTGATCCTTCTACTTAAGCCTCCTGAGTAGCTGACAGGCGTATGCCACTATGCTCAGCCAATTTTGTTTATTTTTTGTAGAGGCGAGTTCTCACTATGTTGCCCAGGCTGGACTCAAACTCCTGGGCTCAAGATATTTTCCTGCCTTTGCCTCCCAATATGCTGGAAGTACAGGCATGAACCACCATACCCAGCTTGGCTATTATTATTTTTACTGCTACTTTTATAAGTCTGGCAAAAGATAAAAAAGTACTGAACTAGGCACTGCAGATGAAGAGTATGAAGTCTGTTTGAAGATATGAGAGATAAGTAAAATGGATTTTCAGCTTGGGCACTAAATGAGGGTGGAATGGCTATGAAACCACAGTTTCTTCTCTGACTTTTTTAGTCTAACTGCTCCCAAGCAAAGTATTCTCAAAAGCTCTCTTTTAGCTAAAAAGTTCTATTTGAGGTATGGACAAGCTGAATATATTTCCTGGAGTCTCACAAATTATCTTGATGTGAAATTCTATATATAGAATTGGACTGGGTGCAAACAGCATCTTTTTTCTTTCGGACTCCTGTATCCTCTCTCTAGGTTCTTCAAGTGGGGAAAAAACCTGAGAAGAGAAGCATGTTTCTGCTCTTTTCACTGCAGACACACACATCTTCTCTCTATCACACTGCTGCTGCTTGTAGAGCTCATTATGTATAGCACCCATGCTAGCCACTGAGGAAAGGAGACAACAATAAAGATTTAGTCCATGGGGATTTACACCTATGTAAGGTAGACAATAACAAACAGATCATGGGCCAGAGTTTCTGTAAAATGTTTTTGTAAATAAAGCTTTCAGCCATGCCCAATTTATGCATTGTCTGTGGCTTTTTTATTTTTATTTTTTTGCTACAATAGCACTGCTAAGTGGTTGTAACAGATTCTGTGGCCCAGAAAACCAAAAATGTTTGCGATCTGAACTTTATAAAGAAGTCTGTCAAGCTCTAAAACAGGCCATTAATTAATTTTATGTGATAAGTGTGTCAAAGAGGAAGCTGGTTAGTATGAAGTATCGGGGGGAATTACCCTGAAAAAGTGAAAGATAAGCTAGGTAAAGGAAAGGTCTCAAAGGCAAAGCTAGGAGTAACGGCATTATGTAAAAGACCTGAGGTGGGAAAGAGCACAGTGCATACCAGGAACAGAGAGAAGGTCAGTATGGCTGGAGTACAGAGTATAAATTGGTGTTGTATGAGATCAGAAAGGCAGGCACAGATTAGATGACGCAGAATCTTAGAGGCCACAACACAGACTTTATATCTTAATCCACAGGACAATGAGAAGCTATCAAAGGGTTGGGTAAAAAAGGGTGATATGAGTAAATCTGTGTTTTAAAATATTACTATTTTAAGGAAAATAATGAGAGAAGGGGTGGACAACAAGAGATGTAAGATGACTAGTTAGATGGCAACTATGGATTGAGAAAAGGGGATGACAGCTTGGGTCACAGGGATGGAAAGAAGAAAGAGTTGAGAAATATATAGGAAGATGAATTGGCAGAATTTTTTGACTGATTAAGCAGAAAAAGCTGAAGGAAGGACAGCTGACAAAGATGATTATTGGCCGGGTGCAGTGGCTCAAGCCTGTAATCCCAGCACTTTGGGAGGCCGAGGCGGGTGGATCACGAGGTCAAGAGATCGAGACCATCCTGGTCAATATGGTGAAACCCCGTCTCTACTAAAAATACAAAAAAGTAGCTGGGCATGGTGGCACATGCCTGTATCCGAGCTACTCAGGAGGCTGAGGCAGGAGAATTGCCTGAACCCAGGAGGCGGAGGTTGCGGTGAGCCGAGATCGCGCCATTGCACTCCAGCCTGGGTAACAAGAGCGAAACTCCGTCTCAAAAAAAAAAAAAAAAAAAAAGATGATTATTATAACATAACATATATAACTGGCTGGATGGCTAAACAGGGTACACGAGCAGAGTACAATGGAAAGCAGAGGAGGGGGTATGAGAGGAGAAAATTAGCTCAGTTTGAGTTTAAAGTATCTAAAAACAAAATGAACATGTCCACTAAGAGTTGATAGACCCGACTGGGCACGGAGACTCACAACTGTAATCCCAGCACTTTGGGAAAGCAAGGTGGGCAGATCACTTGAGGTCAGGAGTTTGAGACCAGCCTGGCCAACGTGGTGAAACCCTGCCTCTATGAAAAACACAAAAATTGGCCAGACGTGGTGGCAGGCATCTGTGGTCCCAGCTACTAGGGAGGCTAAGGCAGGAGTATTGCTTGAACTGGGGAGGCAGAGGTTGCAGTGAGCCAAGATTGTGCCACTGCACACCAGCCTGGGTGACAGAGCAAGACTCCATCTCAAAAAAAAAAAAAAAGAGTTGATACATTGGTCAGCAAAAAGTAGAAAGCTGGGATAAAGTTTTTGGTGAGGTCTCAATAATGAAAGTTTTGGTTAAAAAACAAAACAACAAAAATGGGATAATTTTATTAAACCTTATATACATTAACTTTTATGTCTTGGGTAAATAGACATAGAAAAAGGGGTTAACCATAGGAGAAGATAAAGAGGACACAGGGAAAAAGAATGTTAAAAAGACCAAAAGCCATTAAAAGAATACATATCTGCCTTACCATTTTGCCTGATACTTTGTTGCTAGGTTTAACCGAAACTGAGCAAATAAGACTGCATGTTTTTCATTCTGTATATGTGCTCAGTAGAAAAACGGATTCCAGCTATAAAATGGTCTCAGAATATGACCATTAAGGTTCTAAATCACTTAGGTTAATCTTGTACCCAGATCTTACATATTTTGTTTTGTTTTTTTGAGGCAGAGTCTTGCTGTATTCCTCAGGCTGGAGTGCCGTATTAACACACTCATTGCAGCCTTGAACTCTGGGGTCTAAGCAATCCTTCTACCACAGCCTTCTGAACAGCTGGTACCACACAGCTAATTTTTTTTTTTTTTTTTTGAGACGGAGTTTCCCTCTCGTTACCCAGGCTGGAGTGCAATGGCGCGATCTCGGCTCACTGCAACATCTGCCTCCTGGGTTCAGGCAATTCTCCTGCCTCAGCCTCCTGAGTAGCTGGGATTACAGGCACGCGCCACCATGCCCAGCTAATGTTTTGTATTTTTAGTAGAGACGGGGTTTCACCATGTTGACCAGAATGGTCTCGATCTCTTGATCTCGTGATTTACCCACCTCGGCCTCCCAAAGTGCTGGGATTACAGGCTTGAGCCACCACGCCCGGCTCACACAGCAAATTTTAAATTTTTTTGTAGAGACGGGGGTCTCCCTATCTTGCCCAAGGTGGTCTCAAACTCCTGAGCACAAGCAATCCTCCTGCCTCGGCCCCGCAAAGTGCTGCGATTACAGGCATATGGTGCCCAGCCCTTAATTTGCATTTTTGAAAGTCACTGCAAACTTCAGGACTACATGTAACATTCCCATAAAAATACATAAAAAATTAAACCCATATGAAAGAGAATTCTCACACTTACTTTTCAAGCTCTTCCTGAGAATGGGCAAATGTACAATTTGTTCCTCGTGGACAACCCCCTTGCTGTCGCAGATCTCGGCACATGCTAGTCTTGTATTTGCTGTTTGGCTGAGGCTACAAAAATAAAAAACTTCAGTGAGTGCAAAAGTGAAGATTCCACTTGTTATTCACTCTTGGAAGTTCAGAACTTTATAATTACACCTTTAATTCTTTCTCACATTAAATAAGTTAACTCTTGGGCTAAAACAACTAATATTCCATTGTTTCCTCTTGTGAGTTATGTGACATAACCCTGAGTTAGAACTTTAGATATTCCTTATGAAGATTATTTGAAACTGGTTCAAATGTCATGTCCATTTATTCATTAGTCAACAAAACGCCCAGAAAAAGAAAAGATTTTTTCATCAATTTATTGCTGTCTTAAAATTCTGCTACCAAAATCAAACAATTTTAAAAACCACTAAAAAAAGCCATAAGCTTTGTCTACTTAAACTTTCTCGGCTGGGTGTGGTGGTTCACGCCTGTAACCCCAGCACTTTGGGAGGCCAAGGCGGGCGGATCACTTGAGGTCAGGAGATCAAGACTAGCCTGGCCAACATGGTGAAACCCCATCTTTATTTAAAAAATAAAAAAAATTTAAAAAAGTAAACTTTTGCAGAAAAGGTTGAATACAGTTCCCCCCAGAAGTGAAAAATTACCAATTCACTTGTCAACTTGAGGGTATAACTCTCAGGCTTAAACTACTTGAGTTCACACAATCAGGCAGAATATTAAAATTTCATTATGACTTCTATAATTTGCATCAAAAGCTGATATTCTTATGAGCCTAAGATGAAAACATTTGTTTTTCAGTTAATTATTTTTTTTTTTTTGAGACGGAGTTTTGCTCTTGTTACCCAGGCTGGAGTGCAATGGCACGATCTCGGCTCACCGCAACCTCCACCTCCTGGGTTCAGGCAATTCTCCTGCCTCAGCCTCCTGAGTAGCTGGGATTACAGGCATGCGCCACCATGCCCAGCTAGTTTTTTGTGTTTTTAGTAGAGACGGGGTTTCACCATGTTGACCAGGATGGTCTCGATCTCTTGACCTCGTGATCCACCCGCCTCGGCCTCCCAAAGTGCTGGGATTACAGGCTTGAGCCACCGCGCCCGGCTCAGTTAATTTTTTTTAAAGTTATAGTGCCTTCTAATAGATTAAGGAGAGAAGAGTAGAAAGAGTAGGTTTGATTCCAGCTCTTACTGACAGCACAGTCTTATACTATGTTATTTAACCTCTTTGAATTTCAGCTTGGAAAAAGCAACGACATTGCAAGTGGCTGTGAGGATAAGAAATAATATATGTAAAACACTGAATGTAGTGAATGGCCCATAGTAACTTAATAAATAGAAATTATTCATATAAAAAATTATATCTTAACTTCTTTTTAGTTTATTTTATATTTTTGGAGATAAAAGTCTCTCTGTGCCCAGGATGGAGTGCAGTGGGGTGACCTTGGCTCACTGCAGCCTCCCCCTCCCAGGTTCAAAGGATTCTCCTGCCTCAGTCTCCTGAGTAGCTGGGATTACAGCATCCACCACAATGCCCAGCTAATTTTTTTTCTGTTCTTTTCTTTCTTTTTTTTTTTTTTTGAGACAGGGTCTCACTCTGTAGCCCAGGCTGGAGTGCAGTGGCACAACCTTGGCTCACTGTAACCTCCGCCTCCTGGGTTCAAGTGATTCTCCTGCCTCAGGCTACCGAGTAGCTGGGACTACAGGCGCATGCCACCACTAACTTTTTTTGTATTTTTATTAGAGATGGGGTTTCACCATATTAGCCAGGATGGTCTCGATTTGCTGATCTCGTGATCCTCCCACCTAGGCCTCCCACAGTGCTGGGATTACAGGCATGAGCCACCATGCCTGGCCAGGATTATTATATCTTAATTTCTTTTTTTTTTTGAGAAGGAGTTTCACTCTTGTTACCCAGGCTGGAGTGCAATGGCGTGATCTCGGCTCACCGCAACCTCCGCCTCCTGGGTTCAAGCAATTCTCCTGCCTCAGCGTCCTGAGTAGCTGGGATTATAGGCACACACCACCATGCCCAGCTAATTTTTTGTATTTTTAGTAGAGACGGGGTTTCACCATGTTGACCAGGACGGTCTAGATCTCTTGACCTCATGATCCACCCGCCTCGGCCTCCCAAAGTGCTGGGATTACAGGCTTGAGCCACCACGCCTGGCCTATCTTAATTTCTAAAGTACATTGAAAATATCTTGAAAGTTCAAATTCCATAAATTTACATACAGAAATTCAATAGAGAAAAAAATGACAATTTCCCACAGTAGAAAAGAATTAGACCAAACATTTGGAATTATTGATATTTGGTCAAAAATATTTTGTAATGAAGTATATTCACACCCAAGATACCATCTAAACTCTTGTGCTATGAAATGTTTACCAGGTACACTGAAAACTGGGTTTCTCCCAAAAGAACAGAGACAATAAAAATTATGAGAGATTAGAGTCACATACAGAGTCCAATTAACAAAAAAGCTTGTTAAGGCGTTCAGGATGAAGCTGAGTTAGAGACTACAGCAGTCATAAGCATACTAAATGTACTTACCTGAGGTGTCTCATGGCCTTTTCTACTATAATTTTGTATGAAGTCCACAAGGCCATGAACTACTGTTTTAACAGCTACCATTGCATTTTCTAGCTGCTCCCATGTTGGTGAAACAGCATCTAAAATACGCCAACAAGGGCAGGGGGGTTAAGGGGGAAAGAATATTAGCAGTAATTCTCTTGTGTTATTCACCTCAAAAGTAGAAAAAAATATAAGCAACTAAGCCTATTCCCACATACCTGGATTAGGGTCTATGTTTGCAAGAAGTTCTAAATGAGGCCTCAGTCTATTTAAGTTAGCTGGGTCACCTGTTCGTTGCAAAACAATGGTCAATTCCTGGACACTCTTTGCAAATGACTCTGGAGACTGTAGCTAACAAACAGAAATGACAATGGCTTTTAATTTGGTTCTTACGACACACTTATATTCAAATACTTTCAATATGTCAACATATTTAATAAGTTTTCAAGTGTCTTCAGATTCCACAGGAGTATCAGTGATGAATTAAAATTTTCACCTCAAAATCTGCCCTATGAAATTCATCATTAGACACTTAGAAAACTTATAAACTGTATTAACTCTCTGAGTCAGAATACAGATAAGCTTGAAACTTTGTCTCACTGCTTTTATGCTATTATGTATTTGTTTCCCTGTTGCACCCCTTTATTTTGCAGGTAGAAAAATAAAAGAAAATAAGGATAATTTGTAAGAGTCTGATATTTAAAAACATAAGAATCTCCAACTGTTTGTGTCTAGACTCTTTATAATATTATAATACTGCTCAATGTAGCAGCATTGGTAGAACATCAGCATCTCTAATTTCACAAACCTTATCGATGATAGACTGCATGTGTGATTTATGAGCCAAATCACCATATAAAAGTGAGGACCATTGTTCAGGTGAAATACGGAGTCCTGCTTCCATAGCAATATGAACAATTTGGGCATCATGTTCTCTGCGTAATGCTTCATAACTCCGAAATTCTTCCTTCAGCTGCATTAGGGAAGAGTCTTCATCCCTTTTGGTAACCTAAAAAATAGAAAAGACAAAAAGAAAGTCATCAGAATTGGTCTGTGCTTTCTCCCTTTAACCGATTCGTTTATTCTTTTTTCAGGGAAGGTGGGGGACACCTACATATCAGACACCACACAAATAAGGTACAAAGATAAGATAATGTCCTGACCACAAACTCTTTCTGGAATAAAACAGAAACTTACATAACTAAATACATAATCCTTGTCTTCAATAATTTCAGCCACTGGAAGGAAGAGAAACGTGTAAGTAGAAAATTATAGTAAAAGTGCTATTATAAGGCTTCGATGGCAACGAAGAAGAAAGGGAATTAAATTAGGGAAAAGAAAGGTCTTTCAGAAAAGGCTTCTCCCAGCTAAAAGTTGCATGAATTGATTCATGCAGAATAAACAGAGTTTCCCAACGAAAGAAAGGTGAGGAGGCTAGGCATGGTGGCTCATGCCTATAATCCCAACACTTTGGGCAGCCAAGGCAGGCAGATCACTTGAGTCAGGAGTTTGAGATCAGCCTGGCCAAAATGCTGAAACCCCATCTCTACTAAAAATACAAAAATTCGTCACATGTGGTGGCAGGCACCTGTAATCCCAGCTACTCAACAGGCTGAGCCAGGAGCATTGCTTGAACTCAGGAGGCAGAAATACAGTGAGCTGAGATAGCGCCACAGCACTCCAGCCTGGGGGACAGAGCGAGACTCTGTTTCAATAAAAAAAAACAAAAAAGAAGAAAAAGAAGGGGAGAAATAGAATTTTTAGCAGCAAGTGGTGAAATAGAAACATGAAAGAGCAGAGAACATAGGGTTAAAGTTATGATACAGGCTAGAGAATAACAATAGAGGGCCTTATATACTACAGTAGGAACTCTGGGTATTATCATGAAGGGAATGTGAAACCACTGACTTTTTTTGGGGGGTGGGGATGGGGACAACAGGGTCTCACTTTGTCACCCAGACTGGAGTGTAGTGGTACAATCTAGGCTCGCTGTAGTCTCGACTTTCTGGGCTTAAGAAGCCCTCTCGCTTTGGCCTCCCAAAGTGCTGGGATAACAGGTATAAACCACACACAGGGCTGACTGAGGACTTTTAAGCAGAGAAGTGACATGATCCGATTCATGTTTTAAAAAACATCACTTTGGTAACAGCAGAGGATAAAGATATACAAGCAAGAAATCCAGCCAATGGGTAGGCATACATTAGCACTACCACATGACAATTAAGAAATTTTCTTGGGTGGCTGAGGCAGGAGGATGGCCTGTGCCCAGGAGTTCAAGGCTGCAGTGAACTACGATGGTGCCACTGCACTCCAGCCTAAACAACAGAGTGAGAGTCTTTTCCTAAAAAAAAAAAAAAAAAAAAAAAATTAAAAGAAATTTTCTGCCACCACAGAAATTATCATAGAGGTATTTATATAGCTTTAATCTCTACTTAAGTAGTAAAAAATGATACAATCAAAAGTTGCAGAGATTTACATGGCCTAGTGAGGTTGTCTGTGGAACCAGAGATTAATTTCAATTGTTGCCCTAAGGGCATAAAACTTAACACTATGACTATGAGGCAGATAGTGTCCAAGCCTCCTTAGTGGAGTTAAATGAATTAATTTCAATACATTTCTATCATCAATTACCTGTCAATGTGCCAAGGAAACATTTTTCCATCAATACTCTTTTTACTCTCGGGAGGCTATAAAACCAACGAAATAACCTAAATAAGCTTTGGTTTCAAATTTAAATGTTTCACTTTCATAGAAGCCAATAGGCCTTTCTATTTCCAAGTCCATGGGCCTTTCTCAAGACCCAGTTAGCAACCTACACTCTTGGAACATAAAAACACTTTAAGGATTCAGCTTGCTTGCAGTATCTGTCACCACCCACTGGCCTATTAGACAATGAAACTACATTTTTAAATATCTTAGGGTTCTTCCCTACCCTTTCCACTAAACACAAACACAAAAAAACTCAACATCTAAAAAAAGCAGAGTGGACCAATGTCCTCAACTTTCCATTTCCTTGCTGTATTTGAGATAAGATGTTGGCCATTTTCAGATTAAAGGTGTTAATCTAATCACTAAAGAGAATGAGATAACAAAAATAATACTGGGTTACAAAGTACATACTCCTTATGAAGTTATACAGTTTCTGATTCCCTTTTTAAGATACTAAATGTAAAGAAACAAGGCTTCTGCAGTCCACTTTTACTTGATAAGAGTCAAGTTTACCAAATGATTTCCTTATATTCTTCCTGTTACTGACATCACATATATGCTTTTATTTTGCCAACGGGTGGTAACAGGTACTAAAAGGTGGTATCACAGATGCAATCAATGAAGAAGGAAAGTTTTTCTCAACTCTTGTAAGCATTCTGCATTGCTAGGCCCTCTAGACTGGGTAACATGAATTTGAGGAAGTCCCTGTCTCACATACAAGCATATCTTTACATAGATGCTTATTGCTTACCTTAAAACAAGAAGCTCGATACAGTAGTTGCACAACATGACCAATACTTGTTTTTGATGCCTGAGGAAATCTTGGTTCTAGTCTCTGCACAACAAAAAGTACCAGAACTTTCCTTGAGAGGGCAGAACCATCTTCTAATGCCAGTAACACAAGCTTCAAGGCCTCTTCTTGCATAGCTAAAAATATTAAAGGAACATGAGTTCATGATAAATGAGGAACCCAACAAATCACGTGTGTCATAGCCATCTTTGGGTATTAGAGTTTATAGTGAGTGGCCCATTACCCATAATCTATATTTAATTAGCACAAAGAGGACATCACCCGTACATAGTTTATTTAAAAGGTAATCAAGCAAAATAAAACATACTTTCCACAAATAAAACATACTTTCAACTAAACACTAATCAAAACACAAGTTAACAGAACTTAAAATATCTTCTGTATTTAACAGTCAATTAGATGATGATAATGTTTAGGTAAAAAATGTTATTTATAAAACACACAGCTGGACATGGTGGTTCACACCTGTAAATCCCAGCACTTTGAGAGGCCGAGGCAGGAGGATTGTTTGAGCTCAGGAATTTGAGATGAGCTTGGGTAATATAGGGAGAAGCTGTCTCTACAAAAATGTTAAATAAAAAAAAAAATTAGCCGGGCATGGTGGCATGTGACTGTGGTCCCAGCTACTTGGGAGGCAGAAGTGTGAGTATCATTTGAGCTCAAGAGGATGAAGCTGTAGTGAGCTGTGATGACATCACTGCACGCCAGCCTAGGTGACAGAGACAAACCCTATCTCAAATAAATACATAAAAATGGCCGGGCGCGGTGGCTCAAGCCTGTAATCCCAGCACTTGGGAGGCCGAGGCGGGTGGATCACGAGGTCGAGAGATCGAGACCATCCTGGTCAACATGGTGAAACCCTGTCTCTACTAAAAATACAAAAAACTAGCTGGGTGTGGTGGCGCGTGCCTGTAATCCCAGCTACCTAGGAGGCTGAGGCAGGAGAATTGCCTGAACCCAGGAGGCGGAGGTTGCGGTGAGCCGAGATCACACCATTGCACTCCAGCCTGGGTAACAAGAGCGAAACTCCGTCTCAAAAAAAAAAAAAAAAAAAAAATGAAACACACAGAACTACTCTGACAATAATATGCAAAGGACCCACAGTAGCGTTATAATAAACGGTACTGTTTTCATGGATGAGACTGTTACTTTGCCCGTCAGAACTACTTTGTATATAATTTAAAAAATGATAATAGTCTCTGAATGCAATACCCAAAGAAGGTATTAATTTCATTTTTGTTGCTTTATAGCCAGGAATATATAGTATAATCTGAAGGTAATCATTAGAGACATCAGACAAACCCAAATTAAGACATATTCTAAGGACAGGCACAGTGGTTCACACCTGTAATCCCAGCCCTTTGGCAGCCTGAGGTAGGTGGATCACCTGAGGTCAGGAATTCAAGACCAGCCTGGCTAACATGGTAAAACCCTGTCTTTACCCAAAATACAAAAATTAATTAGGCATGGTGGCACACTCCTGAAGTCCCAGCTACTCAGGAGGCTGAGACAGGGGAATCGCTTGAACCCGGGAGGCAGAGGTTGCAGTGAGCTGAGATCACCATTGCACTCCAGCCTGGGCAACAACAGTGAAACTCTGTCTCAAAAAAAAAGAAATATTTGGTAAAATAAATGGCTTGTATTCTTCAAGAATATCAGTGTCATGAAAGACAATGAAAGACAAAGAAAGGCTGAGGAATAGTTGTAGAAGAAAGACTACTAAAGAGACATGACTAAAAAATATGGTAAATGATCTTGAACTGGATCTTATACTTGAAGAAAATAAATACCATAAAAGTTATTTTTAAAATTATTGACAAAACTGGCATATGAACTACAAAATGTATATAGTACTGCATTGTACCACTAATTTTTAAAAATTTAATGAATGTAATATTGTTACATAGGAAAGTATCCTTGTTTTTAGGAAACACACTAAAGCATTAAAGGAAAGGAGCATAAAAAAAGCAACCTACTCTCAAATGGTTCAGAAGAGAGGGAAAGAATAACAAACATGGCAAAATATTAGAAACTGCTGAATCTCGGTAAAGAATACATAGGAAATTCTCTGCATTATTCCTACAACTTTTCAGTAAACATGAAATTATTTCAAAATTACAAATTACAAATACATGATTATTAATCAAAACAATAGAGCTGAGAGATTATCTAGATTCAAAATAAAAACGTAAGGCCATTGAGGTCCAGAGAAGTTAAGTGACTAAGCTATATCTAGTTACCAGCAAAATTGGAACTATAATAGCAAAAATAACAATTACTTTTGTACCAACCTAATAGAACCAAGGACTTCTAAAAATTTTTAAATGTTTCTTTTTTTAATTATCATTTTATCTTTTTTTTTCTTTTTTGTCTCTCAGGGTTTCTCTGTTAGCAAGGACTTTTTTAAAAATTGAGATAAAATTAACCATTTTAACTGCACAATTCAGTGGTATTTACTATATTGGCAGTGTTGTATAACTGTCAACTCTAATTCTCATTTTCATTAGACCAAAGGAAACCCCATGAACATTAAGCAGTCACTGCTCATACACTCTATACACAACCCCTGGCAACCACTAGTTGGCTGTCTGGTTTCTTTCATTTAACATGGCTTTTTTTTTGAGACAGTCTCACTCTGTCATCCAGGCTGGAGTGCAGTGGCACGATCTTGGCTCACTGCAACCTCTGCCTCCTGGGTTCAAACGATTCTTGTGCCTCAGCCGCCCAAACAGCTGGGATTACAGGTGTGTACCCCTAGACCCAGCTAATTTTTTTGTATTTTCAGTGGAGACAGAGTTTTGCCACATTGGCCAGGCTGGTCTGGAACTCCTGACCTCAAACCAACCGCCTCAGCCTCCCAAAGTGCTGGGATTATAGGTTTGAGCCACCATGTCAAACCTAATGTTGTATTTTTGAAGCTCATCCACATGCAGCGTATCTCAGTACTTCATTCCTCTTATGGCAGAAGAACAGTCTATTTACGGATATACTACATTTTGTTTATCTATTTATCACTTGATGGATATTTGGATTGTTTCCACCTTTTGACTATTGTGAATAATGCTGCAATAAACATTTGTATACAAATATTAGTTTGAATACCTGTTTTCTAGTCTTTTGGGTATATACCTAGGAATAAAACTGCTGGGTCATATGGTAATACTGTTTAACTTCTTAAGGAATTGACAAATTCTTTTCCAAAGCAGCACACCAGTTTTTTACATGCCCACATTCTCCACATTCTCACCAACATTTGTTATGTTCCATTTTTAAAAACTATGGCCACTCCCAGCACTTTGGGAGGCTGAGATGGGAGGACTGCCTGAGGCCAGGAGTTTCAAGTTACAGTGGCCTATAATTGTGCCGCTGCACTCCAACATGGGCAATAGAGCAAGACCCTCTCTCTAAAAAAATGAAATAAAATGATGGCTGAGTGGGTATAAACAAGTATGTCACTGTAATTTTGATTTGCATCTCCCTAATAACTAAATACATTCAGGATTTTTTCATGTGCTTGTTAGCCATTGAAATGTCTAGTCAAGTTATTTACCCACTTTTAAATCAGGTTGTTCTTTTGTTTCTGAGTTGTAGAACAAAGAGATCTGACACCTAGTCTATTGCTTCTTAAGTAAGTAAACATTAGGAAATATCCAAAGGTAACATTCTTAAATTCTGTATAAAAGTAGATTTGTAAAAAATATTTTAACATTTTGTATTACAGAAAATTTTAAACATATATAAAAGCAGAGAGAACATACATCTATAACACAGCTTTTGCCAGTCAGGTTTTATCTACTTCTTGCTCATTTTTGTAGTTTGCTTTCACTGAGTATCTAAAAGTCCCAGACAACATATTACTTCATCCTTAAATACTTCAGTATTAAATACTGAATTTAAATACTGAAGTATCTCTAAGAGTTAAGACTTAAAACTTCTTTTAGCACAACACCATTATCACATCTAAAAAATAATACATTTTCTTTCTCTTTTTTTTTTTTTTTTTTGAGACAAGGTCTTGCTCTGTCACCCAGGCTGGAGTGCAGTGGCATGATCTTGACTCACTACAACCTCTACCTCCTGGGCTCAAATGATCCTCTCAACCACAGGCATGTGCCACCACACTGGACTCATTTTTTTTTAGACGAAGTCTTGCTCTGTCGCCAGGCTGGAGTGCAGTGGTGCAATCTTGGCTCACTGCAACCTCGCCTCCCAGGTTTAAGTGATTCTCCTGCCTCAGCCTCCCAAGCACCTGGGACTATAGGCGCATGCCACTACAACTGGCTAATATTTGTATTTTTAGTAGAGATGGGTTTCAACATGTTGGCCAGGATAGTCTCTATCTCTTGACCTTGTGTTCCGCCCACTTTGGCCTCTCAAAGTGCTGGGATTACAGGCATTAGCCAGAAAGTCCGCCCCACCCAACTCATTTTTGTAGAGATGGGGTTTCGCCATGTTGCCCAGGCTGATTTCCGACTCCAGGACTCAAGCAATCTGGTGCCTAGACCTCTCAAAGTGCTGGGATAACAGGCATGAGCCATCCCACCAGCCATATTATTTTCTTAATGTGATCTAATATTCAGTCTATGTTCTATTTTCTCTCATCGTTTCAAAATTTTTTTGAGATGGAGTCTCACTCTGTTGCCAGGCTGCAATGCAGTCATGCCATCTCTACTCCCTGAGTTCAAGCGATTCCCCTGACTCAACCTCCCGAGTAGCTGGGACTATAGGCACGCACCACCATGCTGGGCTAATTTTTTGAATTTTAGTAGAGATGGGGTTTTATTATGTTGGCCATGATGGTCTTGATCTCCTGACCTCGTGATCCGCCCACCTTGGCCTCCCAAAATGCTGGGATTATAGGTGTGAGGCCCAGCACCTGGCCCAAAAATGTGTTCTTAAATTATCCAAACAAAGTTCACATATTGCTTTTGGTTGATGTATCTTTAGGCTTTAAGAAAAAATCTGTATCAATTTCCCACCCACCTTTATTTCTCTCCCTTAAAAGAAAATCCATTTGTTAAAGAAAAAAGTTTTTCTGAAGAGTTTCCCATATTCTAGATTTGGCTAACTTTGCGCTGACAATATTTTTGACTTTTTACTTGTTATATTTTGAGACAAGGTCTTGCTTTGTCACCCAGGCTGGAGTGCAGTGGCATCATCACAACTCACTGTGGTCTCGACTTCCTGTGCTTCAGCGAGCCTCTGATCTTAGCCTTCTGAGAAGCTAGGACCACAGGTGCACACCACCATGCCTGGCTAATTTTTGTATTTTTGGTAGAGAAGGGGTTTTGCCATGTTTCCCTGGCTGGTCTCAAACTCCTGGGCTAGAGATCTGCCCAACTTGGCCTCCCAAAGCTCTGGGATTATAGGCATGAGCCACTGTGCCCGGCCTATAATATTTTTAAGTATGGTCCTCTAGCCCCCTTCATTCATGTAAAGTTTATTTGCTGCCAAGGGCACCCCTTATTCCATGCATCACGTCAAGATACACACAGCACAGGCCTATTTGCCTCACTTTTAGTAATGCTAAGATTTATCAGTGGGTTCATACTTTATCCATCTATTATAAATTTCCTCAGTAACCTTTCATCTAATGGGTTTTACAGCCATGAATAATTCTTGCTGAAGCCCATTAATTCATTTGGGGATGCAAAGTTGTGACTTTTCTAATTGTATCATTTTCTAAATGTATTATTAGTTTGAATTCAGCTAAAAGAGGAAACTTTCCTCAACATGTAAGAACTGTCCCTGAAACTGTTTGTACATATTAAGTTTCAATCCATTCTAGTCATTCATTATGTTTAAATTGCCCCACTTACATCTAGTATGAGCTCCTTCATCTTCAATTCTTTGTCCTTTCAACAAAATTCTCTCTCTATCTTCTGTCTCTCTCTCTCTCTGGGGCTCAAGTGATCCTTCTATCATCAGCTTCCCAAAGTACTGGGATTATAAGCTTTTTTGCTTTTTTTTTTTCCCCAGCACAAAACTCACTAGGCTCATCTACTTCCTACCATAGAACTGGAATAAGGTATTTATCCAAAGAGCCCTGCCTCTTTTTAGTGGAAAATGGTATTTATGAAAGCCCACAATGTGAATGCTATGGTTATTCATGACTTCTACACATTTTCAGTGGATAGACCTCGAAAAATGGCATTTTTTAGAAATAGAAAAACAAATGAGTCTGTAGTAATATTGCCAATTCCAATTTAAGGCTGCAGGGGCTTTAACTCTTTTCTTTTATACATCTTTTTTTTTTTTTTTCCTTAGATAAAGTTTCACTCTTTCGCCCAGGCTGAAGTAAAGTAGCATGATCTCAGCTCAATGCAACCTCTGCCCCCAAGTTCAAGTGATTCTCCTGCCTCAGTCTCCCAAGTGTCTGGGATTACAAGAGCCCACCACCACCACACCTGGCTAACTTTTGAACTTTTAGTAGAGACGGGGTTTTGCTATGTTGACCAGGCTGGTCTTGAACTCCTAACCTCAGGGGATCTGCCCACCTTGGCCTCCCAAAGTGCTGGGATTACAGGCGTGAGCCATTGTGCCCAGCCTTGTATCTTTTATTTTAAATGCTGAAAGTCTTGGTTCTGGTGGCATTAACATAATTGTTTGCTTGTTTTATACTACTGTGTTTGTTTATGTTTCTAAATAACAATACCAGTAGAATTATAAACAATATAAATGTAATTTAGGATTTACTATATATTCCACTAGGGATATAAAAGTCAAAATGCTGTGTTCTAATGTAACCTGAAATAATTCATTCTTGAATGAATATGCTATCCACATGTTTCAGCTTTATTTTTAGGTATTAGTTTAATCATTTTAAATTAAATTTTAAAAATACTGAAAGTTATTTTATAATTATGTAAAACATCTATGTGGTTTCAAAGTACAAAACAAAATACAGTTGGCAAGGTCTAGCTTCTATCCCTGTCTGCTTTCCCTTGATTCTTCCTCCTTCTATATACTGGAATTTGTCTTTTATTTTTCTTGCCATTGTTTCTTTTGGGAAATTTGAATGAATAAGGAGATTTTCTCCCTCCTTCTCTTACTTAGAAAGTACTATGCTGAGCACATTATTCTGGACCTTGCTTTTATTTTTTAACTTACCAAGGTATCTGGAGGTCACACCCTAGCAGAATATATACTTCTTCCTCATTTCTTTCGACAGCTGCATAGTACTACACTGGAAGGATATACCACAGTTTATTATACTAGTACCTTATTATGCATAGACATTCAGGCTGTTTGCAGATATTTGTTATTACAAATAGCGCTTTTATAACTTTATGCATTCTATACCTTCTGTTGTCTCTTTGCGATAGATTCCTAGAAGTGGGATTGCTGAACCAAAAGGTAAACACAGAGGTAATATTGTCAAATGTTGCCAAATTTTTTTTTTTTTTGAGACGGAGTTTCGCTCTTGTTACCCAGGCTGGAGTGCAATGGCGCGATCTCGGCTCACCGCAACCTCCGCCTCCTGGGTTCAGGCAATTCTCCTGCCTCCGCCTCCTGAGTAGCTGGGATTACAGGCACGAGCCATCATGCCCAGCTAATTTTTTGTATTTTTAGTAGAGATGGGGTTTCACCAAGTTGACCAGGATGGTCTCGATCTCTTGACCTCGTGATCCACCCGTCTCAGCCTCCCAAAGTGCTGGGATTACAGGCTTGAGCCACCGCGCCAGTGCCAAATTCTTTTTTTAAAGTTTGTACCATTTTGCATGCCCATGACTACCGGATGACAGTACCTGATTTCCCACACCCTGGCCAACAGAATATATTGTCAAACTTTTAAAAAGATTCTGCCAATCTGACAGAAATTGGCAAGATTCTGCCAATCTGATAGGTGAGAAATGGTATTTTAGTATAATTCTAATGCATATTTGTCTTAGTATAAGAAAAACTGATTATCATTTTTATATGTTTGAAGCCATTTGCATTACTTTCTTCCTGTGAATCATCTGCTTGCATCTTTTGTCAATTTCTCAATTGGGTTGTTGGTCTTTTTCTTCTGAATTTTTAGACATACTTTATATATTATTTATATTTGCCCTCTGTATGTTTGTTACATAATTTAAAAATATTTTCCCCAGCTTGTCTTTTTCCTTTGCTTATAATTTTTTTGTGATGTAATACACACATTAGATTTTGAGTTAACGTTAGAAAAATATTCCCTACTCACAGGTTATACAGGAGTATATTTTCTTATTTGCTTTTATTACCTGTATAATTTATTTTTAGTATTTCTGACATGTTTGTAATTTCTATAGTTTATAGAGAATAAGAAATGCATCTAATTTTGTCTTTTTCCACATGCTGATCTAGTTGTCCCAACATCAATCACTTACTAAAGTTTCTTTTCTAAAAATAAATTCTACCTGACCTATAGTTCTAATTCACAGAGTTCAAACAATAAACCTTCTGGAAGAAAACACAGGAGGGTATTTTGTAACCTTGCTATAGGTAAATATTTTTTAAAGATAGAACATAAATAGGACTAACCATAAATAACTATCCCCTAAAAGTGATCCAGAGCTTGAACATTTTTTTTCAGACCAAAAAAAAAAAAAAAAAAAAAAAGCTTACCTTTCTTTTGCTTATATTTGTGCAATCTTAGGCCTCTTTCTAACTTGGTTTTCTAATTTGTAGAACTGTAATTATATTGCCTATCTTGATAGCAATTAAAGCTTAAATGAGAAATTCGTTTTAAAACACAAAAGCACTGCTTGTCATATAAATTAAGATTAATAAAAATGGATTTATCTTGGCTGGGTGCAGTGGCTCCCGCCTGTAATCCTAGAATTTTGGGAGGGCAAGGTAGGCAGATTGCTTGAGGTCAGGAGTAGAAGACCAGCCCAAGGAACATGGTGAGACCCTGTCTGTACAAAAAATAGAAAAATTAGCTGGGTCTGATGGCATGTGCCTGTAGTCCCAGCTACTTAGGGGGTTGAGGCAGGAGGATTGCTTAAGCCTGCATGTTGAGGCTGCAGTGAGCTAAGACTGTGCCACTGCACTCCAGCCTGTGCAACAGAGTGAGATCCTGTCTCAAAAAATAAAAAAACACAAAAATAGCAATAAAAACAACAACAGCAAAAAACCAATTTATCTTTAATTATATCAAGATTTGTACATATAAAGATGAGTTGAGTCTCAGGATTCTTACCAAGCTCCAGACATTGTCATCCTCAAGCCCCAATAGCTAATAAAAAAGGTAAGATAGTAACCTATCTTACCTGGCCCTAAAAACTGGCATCCTCGAGCCCTGACAGCGGCCCATAGATTGGCAGACAATTGCTGAGGGTTCTGGTGCTGTAATATCAGTTCTGTTACAGTTCTTTCTCCAAGTGAACGAGCTGCTCGCATGGCTCTTACACGACCTTCTTCCTCCACCAGTTGACAGTTTACAAGTGTCACCAGTTTCCTTTGCATTGGACGGCTCAGTGCACTCTGGTTCAAACTAGCTACACCTTTAGGAAGAGGGAAACAAAGGGAACTAAAGTTTTTTCAATAAAAAATAAAAGTCAATTTTCATTGTCTGTATTTAACTATTAAGCTACAATTCCTAATGAGTCCCGTGTAATGTGCTTTAATTTTTTCTAACAGTCAGTATTCTGTCTGTGGCTACTCTGCAGTAATAAGGAGTCTAATTTTTAGCTACTTTAGCAGTTTAACCTAAAAGTAAAAATAACTCTATTTTTTAATTGTACATAAGACATTTAGAATATTGCTTAATGGTAAGCACTTAGATCCTACTCCTCTGTACCTATGTAAGAATATTGCCCCAGCAATTCTCCCCTCTCCCACAATATCAATCCATCTAAAAAATAAATATTTTCATGATCCTTCTTCCACTACCAAATCTACCCCATTTCTTTCTTTCTTTCTTTTTTTTTTGAGACAGAGTCTCACTCTGTCACCCAGGCTTGAGTGCAGTGGCACCATCGCAGTTTACTGCAACCTCCACCTTCCAGGTTCTAGTGATTTTCCTGCCTCCAGAGTAGCTGGGATTACAGGAGCATGCCACCATGTCCAGCTAATTTTTTTTGTATTTTTAGTACAGACACAGTTTCATCATGTTGGCAAGACCAATCTCAAACTCCTGACCCCAAGTGATCTGCCCACCTCAGTCTCCCAAAGTGCTGGGATTATAAGCGTGCGCCACCGCGCCCGGCTTCTGTTCCATTTCTTTCTTCTTTTTTGTAGCAAATTTTGTAGAGTTGTCTATACTCGCTATTTCCTAGTCTACTGCTTTAACTACCTGGCCAACTGTAGATCACTACAATTGATTTCTTTACTACTTCCAATTCCTTATTTCACAATCTCTGAAACCATTATCAAAATAATGAGTTATATTTCTACCCCAAGTTTTTCTCACTATCACTTGATCAAAATAGCTCTTGTCAAGCCAACAATTACCTCTACTTTGCTAAATTGTTTAAATTAGTTAATTTTCAGTTCCTTATTTTATCTGACCTTCCAACAGCATTCAACACACATGATTACTCATTACTCCTTTAAAACACATTATTTGGCTTACTAATGTGTCCCAACACTAGAATAATGTTGGAAACTTAGTCCATGCTCTTTAGATAGATGTTTAATAAATGAATGAATGAATACAGTGGATAAGTATCTCAGTAAAATTGCTATGTCCACAACAGTGCAAAGTATTGAGTAGGTACAAAATAATTACTCAATATATTCATTCATTCACCAATTGTTTATTACACCCATGATGTGCTAAGTATGAAGTGATAAACAAAATAAAATTTCGGTTTTGTCATAAACTTAAAATAATGTATTACACTTGTACACCTACCTCCCCAAATAAACTGTAGGCTCCATGACAGCAGTGACCTTAACCACTGTTAAGTGCTCAATAAAACTTTATGAATGACTGAATGAATACATGCATACATGAAATTTTTTTTTAAGACAGAGTCTTGCTCTGTCTCCCAGGGTGGAGTGCAATGGTACGATTTTGGCTCACTGCAATCTCTGTCTCTCAGGTTCAAGTGATTCTCCTGCCTCAGCCTCCCAAGTAGCTGGGACTACAGGCACATACCACCATGCCCGGCTAATCTTTTTTTTTTGTATTTTTTGTAGAAATGGGTTTCATTGTGTTAGCCAGGATGGTCTCGATCTCCTGACCTTGTGATCTGCTTGCTTTGGTCTCCCAAAGTGCTAGGATTACAAGCCTCAGCCACCATGCCTGGCTTCATGAAGCTGTCTTAATAGGATTTATCAAAACTAATATTCTATTACAGCACTATTAGAACAATTCTAATACTGTATGAATTTCAAGATGCAGTGATTCTGGTAAATTCTTTTTTAGAGACAGAGTCTCACTTCCATCACCCACGTTGAGTGCACTGGCACAATCACAGCTCACTGCAGCCTCAACTTCCTGGGATCATGTGATTCTCCCACACCACACTGGCCTTCTCAGTAACTGGGACTACGGGCATCTGCTGCCATGCCTAGCTAATTTTTTTTTTTTTTTTTGAGACGGAGTTTCACTCTGTTGCACAGGCTGGAGTGCAGTGGCACAATCTCAGCTCTGGGTTCAAGTAATCCTTCTGCCTCAGCCCCCACCTAGTAGCTGGATTACAGGCACGTGCCACCATGCCCAGCTAATTTTTGGATTTTTAGTAGAGACAGGGTTTCGCCATGTTGGCCAGGCTAGTCTCTAACTCCTGACCTCAGGTGATCTACCTGCCTCGGTCTCCCAAAGTGCTGGGATTACAGGCATGATTACAGCCACCATGCCTGGCCCAATTTTTTGTACTTTTAGTAGAGATGGGCTTTTGCCTTATTGCCCAGGCGGGTCTTGAACTCCTGGGCTCAACCAATCCACCTACCTCAGCCTCATAAAGTGCTCAGATTACAGGCATGAGCCCCACACCCACCTTGAATTATTAAATTAATAACAGTACTGGTTATTTTCAGAAAACAGGATAATATAATTTTCTTAATCTATATATTTTTCAAGGCATTTCTCAAGCAAACTCCTTTTCCATACTTATTTAATAGGGTATCCACATCAAATCCAAATTCAAAGTAAATGCACTACCAAGTCCTGCTTATCAGTAAAAATGCATTTTATGAACTTACCTTTACCTCCACTTAGTGGTTTTAAGTAGAGTGCCAAATCCTCAACGCATTTCTTTGCAACCTCATAGTGTTTATTCTCACCTAGATTACTTAACTTAATTGACTGATGATCTGGTACCTTAAAAAAAAAAAAAAAAAAAAGAATATTGCAGAAATACATTCATCCAGCTCAAGCAACTATTATTTATGTACTTGGTAATAATATTGGTAAATATAAAATTGTAATACACAGATAATACATGAAAATCATTTAAGCAAAATTAAAGCCAAACACCTAGCCAAACTGGTTTCCACAAACCAAAAACAAGACTAGGTGTGGTGGTTCATACCTGTAATCCCAGCACTTTGGGAGACCAAGATGGATGGATTACCTGAGGTCAGGAGTTTGAGACCAGCCTGGTCAACATGGTGAAACCCCGTCTCTACTAAAAGCTACAAAATTAGCCAGGTGTGGTAGTAGGTGCCTGTAATCCTAGGTACTCGAGAGGCTAAGGGAGGAGAATCTCTTGAACCTGGGAGGTGGAGGTTGTAGTGAGCCGAGATGGCAGCACTGCACTCCAGCCTGCGTGACAGAGTGAGACTCCATCTCAAAACAACAACAAAAACAACAACAAATAACATACTTAATAGCAGGAGCTGTGTGGATTAATGAAGGAAGAAGCAGAAAGTTAATAGTATTGTATCGATGCTGATTTCTTGCTGTTGGATGTTAACATTAGGTTAAGTTGTGGAAAGTTATACAAGTTCTCTGAAGAGTATTTTTTGCAACTTTTTTGCAAGTCTGAAAGAATTTCAAATTAAAGAGTGGAGAAAAAAGGTAGAGTTTTTTTTTTTTTTCCCCCAGTATCACCTTTTTACTATATTATTTAAGATAAGCATCATAAGACACAGTGTTCTCAATCAAAGGTCAAAACTTGGGTGAAAACTGCAGCTCTACTACTTCTATGAATGACTGTGTAAATTACCTGTTTCCAAGTCATAATTTCCATATCTGCAAAATGAAGATGAAAATCTGTATTTTGTAGTGTCACTATAAAAGTTCAATATAATTCAACTTTATGGAGAGCTTATCATGCACTGGGCATAGTTTTAGGCACCAGGGATATATCAATGAGCAAAACAGACAAAATTCTTTTCCCCTTGTGGAGCTCACATTCTAGTGGAGAAGAGGCAGCCAATCAATAAATTAAAAATGCAATAAATAAATATGTAGTATTCTGAGAGGTGAAATTAAAGAGCAAAGATGAGAGGAACCGGAAATACTAGCAAGGGGTTACAATTTTAACTGGGGTGGTCAGCATAGGCTCCCTTGCGAACTGTGAGATTTGAATAAAGACTTGACTGTGGAGAGAGGGGCTGGGTACAGTTGCTCATGCCTGTAATCCCAGAACTTTGGGAGGCCGAAGTGGGCAGATCACTTGAGGTCAGGAGTTTGAGACCAGCCTGGCCAACATGGCAAGACACCATCTCTACCAGAAATACAAAAATTAGCTGGGTGTGGTGACGTACACCTGTAATCCCAGCTACTCAGAAGGCTGAGGCAGGAGAATCACTTGAACCTGGCAGGTGGAGATTGCAGTGAGCTGAGATCGCATCACTGCACTCCAGTCTGGGTGACAGAGACTCCATCTCAAAAAAAACAAAGTGGAGAGAGATTGAATGTTCTAGGCAAAGGTAACAGTCCCTACAAAAGCTGTCAGGTGGCAATATACTTGATATATCTGAGAACTGGCTGAGAAGCCAAAGTGGCTTAAGCGGAATAGGAACAGCAGTAGAAGAGGCTGAAGAAGTAACAGAAGTCACATTGTAAAGACCTGTAGGCAATTTAAGGACCAATTGAGATAACACAAATGGTAGTAACACAATACCTACTGACCTATATAGCAGATGCTAAATAAATTGTGGCTAGTATTTTTTTTTTGAGACAGGGTCTCATTCCCATCACCCAGGCTGGAGTACAGTGGCATAATCTTGGCTCTCTGCAGCCTTGATCTCCTAGGCTCAAGTGAACCTCTCATCTTGCCATCTCAGCCTCCCAAGTAGCTGGGACTACAGGTACACGCCACCATGCCCAGGTAAGTTTTGTATTTTTTGTAGAGATGGGGTTTCACCATGTTGCCCAGGCTAGTTTTGAACTCCTGGCCTCAAGTGATCTGCCCACCTCAGCCTCCCAAAGTGTTGAGATTACAGGTGTGAGCCACTGTGTCTGGTGGTAGCTAGTATTTTTACAAAAAGTCTATGATATTTTATCAAATTAAAAATGTTATTGTTTGCATGAGGCAACATTATTTTATTCTCCATTAATAAAAATATACTACCAATTAAATTATGATACACTATCAATTGTAGATGCACCTTGATTTCATACTATGTAACTGGATAATAAACGCTGAAAACAGATTTTATGATTTAAAAGGAAGACTTCAAATATCAAGATACTAAGGGAATGAATGAAGTATTTGGTTTACTGAATTTTCTAATAAATCAGAAAAGTACTTCCTTTCTGGCTTTAATACGTAGTACATGATGTACAGAATTTCATCTTCTTCCTAACCTGTAAAATAGGGAAAATGGGCCAGGTGTGGTGGCTCAAGCCTCTAATCCTAGCACTTGGGGAGGCTGAGGTGGGTAAATCACGAGGTCTGGAGATAGAGACCATCCTGGCTAACATGGTGAAACCCTGTCTCTACTAAAAATACAAAACACTAGCCAGGCACGGTGGCACGTGCCTGTAGTCCCATCTACTCTAGAGGCTAAGGCAGGAGAACTGCTTGAACCTGGGAGGCAGAGGTTGCAGTGAACCGAGATTGTGCCACTGCACTCAAGCCTGGGCAACAGAGTGGGACTCTGTCTCAAAAAAATAAAAATAAGAAATAAGGAAAATATCTAAAGAGCTATGTTAAAAAATAGTAATAACAAATGCTGAATACTTACTGTCAAACCTAATGCAAAGTAAACCCTCATTAAATAGAAGTTATTTCAAATCTAGAGCCTTGCTTTGATTCAATAAAATAATCAAAAACATGAATTCCATAGCACATGTTCTTTTTTTTCCCGCAACATTCAACCCAAGCACCACATAGCTCAGAGGTGTCTTTTGCTTCTGTGGACCACACTGGAAAAATTGTCTTGGGCCACACATAAGATACACTAACACTAACAATAGTTAATGAACTAAAAACAAAGAAAAAAACAATGTTTTAAGAAAGCTTACAAATTTGTTTTGGGCCACATTCAAAGCTATCCTGGGCTGCATGAGGCCTGCAGGCCAGACAAGCTTGACACAGCACATGTTCACAAGAAACCACACAGAATTTATTACGGACACACTGGTTTTTGGTTTTCCACATATACATCCCTACATAGACCTTATTTTTCCATTTTCACTATTATACAAAAAGTCAAGTGAAGTTAAAAAGAGTAACAAAGAAAAAAAAAAACCTGTTTCTGGTCAAAGCTTTGATTACGCTTTTCATAATATCACCTAGTGAATAAATATGAATGCTTATATAAAAATGCTTCTTCGTGTGCCTATAATCCCAGCTACTCAGGAGGCTGAGGCAGGAGAACTGCCTGAACCCAGGAGGCGGAGGTTGCGGTGAGCCGAGATCGCACCATTGCACTCCAGCCTGGGTAACAAGAGCGAAACTCCGTCTCAAAAAAAAAAAGGCTTCTTATCCATCAAAATCACTTATATACATATAAATTTTAACCACAGAATTAAAGAAAAAAAGGAATTTGTAACTATAATGTAATTTATAGTTTTTATAAGGATAGGACATTATCTAAAGAAAATCTTGGCCAGGCGCAGTGACTCACGCCGGTAATCCAGCAATCTGGAAGGTCGAGGTGGGTGGATAACCTGAGGTCAAGAGTTTGAGACCAGCCTGACCAACATGGAGAATCCCCATCTCTACTAAAAACACAAAATTGGCCAGGTATGATGCCACATGCCTGCAATCCTAGGATCTCGGGTGGCTGAGGCAGGAGAATTGCTTGAACCTAGGAGGCAGAGGTTGCAGTGAGCCAAGATCACGCCATTGCACTCCAGCCTGGTCAAGAAGAAAAAAACTCCATCTCAAAAAAAAAAAAAAAAGAAAAGAAAAAAAGAAAATCTTTTGCAGAATACAATCATGAAAATTAGATACAATGATATTTATTTTTTACACTGTAATGATCACTAAACATACTTTATACCTATTACTGAAGAAAGTTCAGTAACTATTTCATCTAACAAATCATTAGGTTGCTGAAAAAGTAATTTGAGTTTTTGCCATTAAGGTCACATAAGATGGTCAGGTGTGGTGGCTCACACCTATGATCCTGCACCCAGGGAGGCTGAGGTGGGCGAATCACCTGAGGTCAGGAGTTTGAGACCAGCCTGGCCAACATAGTGAAACCCCATCTCTACTAAAAACACACACACACAAAACCCCAAAACATTGCTGGGTATAGTTGTGCATGATTGTAGTCCCAGCTACTTGGGAGGCTGAGGCAGGAGAACTGCTTGAACTTGGGAGGCAGAGGTTGTATTGAGCCCAGATCGTGCCACTGCACTCCAGCCTGGGTGACAAAGCAAGACTCTGTCTCAAAAACAAAAACAAACAAAAAAAACAAAAACAAAAAAACAAGCCACATAAGATACACTAATAATAACAATAGCTGATGAGTTAAAAAACATTTAAAAAAAATCTCACAATGTTTTAAGAAAGTTTATGAATCTGTGTTGGTCCGCATTCAAAACACATCCTGAGCTGCACGTGGCCTGCATGCTGTTAAAGTAATGGCAAAACAGCAATTACTTTTCCACCAACCTATAGTAAAATCTTGAATGCTTACCTGGGCTCCAACTAACTGGAGAAGTGCGAAGTTGACAGGAAGTACATCAATATCTGTGTTGATGGCAGTCTGGTCAAAAGGACAAGCTTTTCGATGAAGTTTATTCAAGCAGGTCTTGCAAACAGTGTGTGAACAACCTAAACTGATGGGTTTGTGCACATTCTCATCAAATTCGTTATAGCAGATTGGACAGGACAGAAATTCTGTCCATTGAGCTGCCTGCACAGGCATTGTGGAAGCTGGATGCTCGGGTTAGCAGTCTAGCAGATCATTATTTTGCTGTGTAGTGTTTTGTAAGCTAGAAACGGACAAAAGTAAGAATTAACCACATATTCATCATTCACCTTTCAAGAGTTAATTGCTTAAGTCAACTATTATAGCTTCAGACCTGAAATACTTCTGAATAATTTTATAACCTTTGGATGTCTTTTTTAAAAAACCTATTTGATGAGTTAATTTTCTAAATTCTGCCTGGAAACAATACCTTAATAGTGTTCCTTTCAACTAAACTGTATTTATATTGGTTGCTCACATAATCACCATCAAAGCTTTTATGTCTTTTTCTCAATGACCACATCAAACAAGCAAATTAACTTTCCATATTCAACTTTTAGGAACACAAATTACTTTGGACTGCTGGTAAGGGTTTTTGTTGTTGTTTAAAAAAGTGTTTCCCTTGGATAACCAGCACCCCAAAACATAATAAGGTATGGCCAGGAGTTGTGAACTTTGGAGACTACTGATCCAAACAATACTGTAGAGACTCAAGTGTGAAGAAAACAGCGCTGCCACCTGAAAGAGGAAATCTCTTATAAGACTTGACTAGGAAGCAAAATGAGGTACTGAAAATCAACATATGAGACTCTGATGAGTGAGGGATGATTAAAAGAGCTGATTGTCCATAAATAAAATAATTCTGACCACAACATATAGTACCAGAGTAAAACAACCAAAAAAAATTGTCTTAAAAATCTTGTCATTTATCCGGGAGGTGAAGGTTGTTGTGAGCCAAGATTGTGCCATCGGACTCCAGAATGGGAAACAAGAGTGAAACTCAATCTCAGAAAAAAGAAAAAAAAAAACTTATAGTTCATTACAATACTTCTGATAAAACTATATTATTTAGTGATTGATATATATAACCAAAAACTGTCGAGTCCAATGAGGAAGACATGGAAAAATAAAACATTAATCTAAAAAGTTATACATACGTGATTAAAAACTGAAAAGGCACACAGAAAAGACCAGTGAGAGAATTTCTTTTATTTCTAAGATCAAAATGTTCTGACCAGGTGTGGTGGATCACACCTGTAATCCCAGCACTTTGGAAGGATGAGGAGGGCAGATCACCTGAGGTTGGGAATACCAGACTAGCCTGACCAACTTGGAGAAACCCTCTCTCTACTAAAAATACAAAATTAGCTAAGCATGGTGGTGCATGCTTGTAACCCTAGCTACTGGAGAGGCTCAGGCAGGAGACTAGCTTGAACCGGGAGATCGTGGTGAGCCAAGACCGTGCCATTGCATTCCAGCCTGGACAACAAGAACGAAACTCCATCTCAAAATAGTAACAACAATAATAATTCATAATTTTAGTACAAGATTTAGTAGCAAAACAATACTAATTTGAACACACTAAACTTTACAGATTTTCTTTCTCTTCCAATTCAAGACTTAATGTAAGTCTGACAAGCTCTCTGGTGAACAAGAAATCTAGGTATTCAGGGCAATTAAACACCTAATACTTTATTTCATAGGAATGTCTACCAAGCCAAACACGTTAGTTCCATAGAAATTAGATATTTTAAAATGTAGTCACATTCAGAAGAGAAAAACATATAACTGAAAGTATTCCCCATTATGCCAACATATAAAATAATTCTAATAGCCTTTATTGCGATATTTTTTTTTTGAGACGGAGTCTGGCTCTGTTGCCCAGGCTGGAGTGCAATAGTGTGACCTTGGCTCACTGCAACCTCTGCCTCCTGAGTTGAAGCGATTCTCCTGCTTCAGCCTCCTAGTAGCTGGGATTTCACGCACCTGCCATCATGCCCGGCTAATTTTTGTATTTTTGTAGCGACAGGGTTTCACCATGTTGGCCAGGCTGGTCTTGAATTACTGACCTAAGGCGATCTGCCTGCCTCAGCCTCCCAAAGTGCTGGGATTACTTACAGGCATGAGCCACTGTGCTCAGCCCTGCCCTTTTATATTCACAAAAACAAAGATTAAAAAAAAAAAAAAAATCAAGCCAGGCACGGTGGTTCACGCCTGTAGTCCCAGCATTTTGGGAGGCTGAGGCCGGCGGATCATGAGGTCAGGAGTTTGAAACCAGCCTGGCCAACAGGATGAAATCCCGTGTCTACTAAAGAAACAAAAAAATTAGCCAGGCATGGTGGCAGACGCCTGTAATCCCAGCTACTCGGCAGGCTGAGGCAGGAGAATTGTTTGAATCCAGGAGGCGGAGGTTGCATTGAGCTGAGACCGCATCACTGCACTCCAGCCTGGGCAACAGAGCCAGACTCTGTCCCCCACTACCCCCAAAAAAAATTTTGGTAAAAATGAATTACAAGGCTTGGTATGTAAAAAGCAGCCCTATACAAACTTTCTCAAACAGCTCTAATGCAAAGTATCTAATATTCTTACCTTTAAAGTAACCAAATCTTTCATGTTATAATTAATTTTACAACTTTCATCATCACAGTACCACATCTATTAATGTTATCAATCTAAAAACCAATTCGTTTCCTTCCAACTTTAGAGATGAGCACTAAGCAGGTGAATATATCACTCCCTAAAACTACTGAACATTTTTAACATTCAGTTTTCTGGTTTGCAGAGTTATCAAGAAAAGGCCTTTGAGGAAGAATAAATTTCTTCTTAAATCTACTGAAAGCTCTAATTTAGTTAATAACTTGAACTGATTAAATATTTATAAAAACAGGACACTACCTGTAGTTTTTCATAATGGCCACCTGTTTGGTAATGTCAATTCTGTGGGTTAGGGTATCAAAGGCCACTTGGTAGCACAAAAAAAGGTCAAATATCTTTTCCTTAGTTTTCCAAGTCCATTCTGAAATGCTTTATATTAAAACACGTTAGTGGGGAGTTGCGGGGGGCAAGGGGGAGGAGGAGTTTCAACTAAACAGAAAAAGGCTATCTTTCATATTTTCACCTAGGAGTTTTAAACTGTTTCAAACTATACCAGAGCACACTTAATAGTTTTATGTTACAACAGTCCTTAGTTATTTTAACATAATCAATGCTGAGAAGTTTAATTTCTACCAAAGTTGAATACTTTTAAAATATAAAGAAAAAACATTGCCAAAATTTTGGCAATAACTCTACCAAATTTCTTTCTTTCTTTTTTTTTTTTTTAAAGAGATGGGGTCTCACTATGTTGCCCAGGCTGGAGTGCAGTGGCTATTCACAGGCATGATCCCACTATTGTATTGATCAGCACAGGAGTTTTGACCTGCTCCGTTTCCGACCTGGGCAGGTTCACCCCGCCTTAGGCAACCTAGTGGGCCTCCGCTCCTGGGAGGTCACCATACTGATGCCGAACTTAGTGCAGACATCCGATCGGCATAGCGCACTACAGCCCATAACTCCTGGACTCAAGCGATCCTCCAGCCTCAGCCTCCTGTGTAGCTGGGACTACAGGCAAGTGCCACCGTGCCCAGCCAGAGTCTAACTTTCTGACAGTAAACTATGAACTAAACCTCCCTTATACAAATCAGATGTAAGAAATGTTTTGATTTTCTAAAAATGTTTTTCTTCAGTATTATCAGTAAGTCTTAGATTCCTAAGATAAATGCAATTTAAAATTGTATCTAAAACATAGAAGAAACTTCATTCCTTCAAAACAGGCACTTTGTAAACATTTACCTAGAAAATATTTTTGTAATTACCAAAAATGATAAATATCCTATTGTCTGTATAATTTATTTTTAAAAGCGTATAAATGAATCATGGCGCACTAAGACTATATATTTGCAAAACTTCTAGACTTATACTAATATATATATATATTTTTTTTTTGAGACAGAGTTTCGCTCTTGTTACCCAGGCTGGAGTGCAATGGCGCGATCTCGGCTCACCACAACCTCCGCCTCCTGGGTTCAGGCAATTCTCCTGCCTCAGCCTCCTGAGTAGCTGGGATTACAGGCACACGCCACCATGCCCAGCTAATTTTTTTGTATTTTTAGTAGAGATGGGGTTTCACCAAGTTGACCAGGATGGTCTCGATCTCTTGACCTCGTGATCCACCCACCTCGACCTCCCAAAATGCTGGGATTACAGGCTTGAGCCACCGCGCCAGGCCTATACTAATATATTTTATGCAACTTATTTGAGTCTACGTAAGTCTAAAATGCTATAAATACTTAGTTACTACTGAAGTATTCTTCCCAAATAATAAAAACATCTCAAACTAGGATAAAATGGATTAAAAGGCCTACAACTCTGGATACCTAAAGTGATTCCTTAAGAAAAACATTCTGGGCTGGGCGCGGTGGCTCACGCCTGTAATCCCAGCACTTTGAGAGGCCGAGGCAGGTGGATCACGAGGTCAAGAGATTGAGACCATCCTGGTCAATATGGTGAAATCCCGTCTCTACTAAAAATACAAAAAATTAGCTGGGTGTGGTGGCGCGTGCCTGTAATCCCAGCTACTCAGGAGGCTGAGGCAGGAGAATTGCCTGAACCCAGGAGGTGGACGTTGCGGTGAGCCGAGATTGCGCCATTGCACTCCACCCTGGGTAACAAGAGCGAAACTCCATTTCAAAAAAAAAGTAAAACATTCTGTCAGAGCGGTGGCTCACGCCTGTAATCCCAACATTGGGAGGCTGGGGCAGGCAGATCACCTGAGGTCAGGGGTTCACACCAGCCTGACCAAGGTGGAGAAACCCCATCTCTACTAAAAATACAAAATAAGCTGGGCATAGTGGTGCATGCCTGTAATCCCAGCTAGCTGGGAGACTGAGGTAGGAGAATCACTTGAACCTGGGAGGTGGTGATTGCGGTGAGCCAAGATCACGCCATTGCACTCCAGCCTGGGCAACAAGAGTGAAAACTCTGTCTCAAAATAAAGAAAAACATTCTAATTATTTGTATTAACTAATTTTAGTTACCAGTTACAAAAACTGAAGAAGGAAAATAAAATAAAGCATAGGAGTTAAGAAATGCTAAATTAAAGGTGAGACCATAAACAGTTTTTTGCTCAACTAATTATCCAGACTGCAAGTTCCTTGCTATGAGCGCTGACACATAAAACAGGAAGCATAATAGGCATCTCTTATATGATTCAAATTACAAACTGCTTTATTAAGAGTAAACTGCACACTAGCTAAATACTTTCATTTTCTGTTATTAGTCAACCATATTATGCAGCCAGTTCAGCTCTACAGCATCTGATTTTAAAATGTGAGAATAAAGTTTACACTTCTTCAACTGTCATATATGTATACAGCATTTTACAATTCTCTTAATAAAAATGTAAACATTAGGGCTTAGTTTTTCTAATTAAAACAATCATTGTTTTCATCTAGTTAACCCATGTAAGGAATATAAGCTACTGAAATGAACTGTCACAGTAACTCCCAGTTTAGAAAACTTAAAAACAATTAGTTTTGTTCTTAAAAAATGATTATTTAAAGCATAAGTACAATTTGGATCTTAACCTGAAAGACAAGCAAAACCAAAACACTGATGGAAATAACTTACAAGCTAGAAACTCAGCACTGGAGAAAAAGGAATTGAATTGCAATTTAAAAGATTGCTGTAGCAATATGTGACTTTGCTTTTAACATGTAAAGTATATGACTCAAATTTTACTTCTTAAATACACTATGGGGTTGAACTCAGTTTTAAAATAAATATTAGATATAACTAATGCATTCGAAAAGGACAACAATGAGATAACTTTCTATTTTAACAAATAAACTAATATTAGTGATGACTATAAAAATACATTTTTTTGAGATAGAACTTACTTCTGTTTATCAAATAACAGCCAATAGATAACTTCATCCTTCATATTACCAGTCCTTAGCCCTTTAATTATTCTAATTATAACAGAATAATCTATCTGGAAGTTTTTGATTTTTATACATCTACTTTTATTCCCTTGGAGGAGTAATGCTGATCTAACAGTAATGTCCAATAGAAATATGATATGAGCCATTATAATACAAGTAATTTTAAATTGTCTGGTAGTCACATTTAAAAAGGTTAAAAGAGGCCAGGTGCAGTGGCTCACTTGAGGTCAAGCGTTCCAGACAGCCTGGCCAACACAGCAAAACCCCCTCTCTACTTAAAATACAAAAATTAGAAAAAAAAAATTAGCCTGCCATAGTGATGCCTTCCTGTAATCCCGGCTACTCAGGAGGCTGAGGCAGAAGAATTGCTTGAACCTGGAAGTGGAGGTTGCAGTGAACCCAGATGGCGCCACTGCACTCTGGCCTGGGAGACAGAGCTAGACCGTGTCTCAAAAATTAAAAAAAAAAAAAAAAGAAAATAGGTAAAATTATTTTTAGTAATATATTTTATTTATCACAGTTTATCCAAAATATCATTTCAACATGTTGTCAATATTAAAATTATTGAGATATTTTAAAGATTTTGGTACTAAGTCTTTTTTTTTTTTTTTTTTTGAGACGGAGTTTCGCTCTTGTTACCCAGGCTGGAGTGCAATGGCACGATCTCGGCTCACCGCAAACTCCGCCTCCCGGACTCAGGCAATTCTCCTGCCTCAGCCTCCTGAGTAGTTGGGATTACAGGCATGTACCACCATGCCCAGCTAATGTTTTGTATTTTTAGTAGAGACGGGGTTTCACCATGTTGACCAGGATGGTCTCGATCTCTTGACCTCGTGATCCACCCGCCTCGGCCTCCCAAAGTGCTGGGATTACAGGCTTGAGCCACCACGCCCGGCCATACTAAGTCTTTGAAATCTGGCATTTTACACCTACAACACATCTCAATTCACACTAGCCACATTTCAAATCCTCAACTGCCACATGTGGCCACTGGCTAGTACTGGACAGTGCAACTCTGGAATAGTTAAGATTATAAAGTAATACTCAAAACTAACTGCTATCAAGAAATTGAGGTAAAACTCACATACTTAAAGCTTTAATAAAATTAGAAGAGCCTGATCAAAACATTCAGGAGACTGGATGCAAAACATGAACTTATTTTTAATTTTCAGCTAGCTTTATTTTACCACATGCTTCCTTTTTCCATCACTAAAAAGTGAAACTTCAACCCAGTCCAAGCTAAACAATAAGTGGTTGTTACAACCTTGTTATAAAGTTTATTTAGCATTCTTGGCTAATCCAAACAATGTAGAAGTTCAATTTTTGAATATAAAATCCTGAGTGTAAAGAAGAATGCTTTGCCAAAATGCAATTTTTCGATTTTTTCAAAGTGGAAGACAAAATTACAAAAGAAGAGTACGATTTAACAAAAACTTATGAACAAAGGACGTAAGTCTTCTTACATGTCAGGTTACCACAACAGAAGTAACAGATCAGGAGTAACTCAAAGGATCCACTAATGAACATGAGTGTAATTAAATCCTCACAGAACAAGCGCCTGTTTGAATTATAACATCTGCTTTTTCTAAGCGTAACTGGAATGTATGTTTCACATTCTGCCCTCCTAGCAATTTTCCAAACTCTAAAATTTAGAAAACATGAATCTCCAAATCAATGAAAATGGTAATATTGAAAAACAGCCTTTAATAGAGGATGTAATGGCCTCTATTTCTTCAAAAATTGAACGTGGAGGTAACCTAAGAAAGGCATGTGAAGCTAGAACACTGGTAGAGCTTTCTAGACAGCTAAAAGGTGTTTTTTTCAAAAAGGAGAATCCATTAATATTCTTAATATTGTAAAAAGCTTTTCACTAAGTTTGTATGTTTAACTATTAAAAGGCTGCACCGTCTGACATTTGTTTTTTTGCTTTTGGGTGAAATTACACCACTGTCGTGTAGCAACATTAGCTTTTTCAGGTTAACCAAAAGTTCCCATTGGAACTTAAAAGTTTGGCCAATACAAAAACGGAAAAAGATGACTTAAAGCACTTTATTTAGGATACAAAGTCACCCACCCACAATGGGTAGGGGGAGAATAGAAATGAAAGATAAAGGCCCTGGGTAAAGGGAGAGGAAGAATTAAAAAGGGAACCCAAGGGTTATGAAAATATAAATAAATCACTAGATTAGATTTACTTTATGTCAGTGATTACTTGAGTCAATTTTGATGTGAAGGATGTATCTGCCGGTATCTTAAACTGTTGCCTTGTGATTTGAAGGATGGAAATGACAGCTACCATCATCTCCCATCCTGAAAGCTAAGGATAGAAAAAAGTACAGCTGCTTTTCTGAGAAACAAAGATGCTTTCTACCATTCTTCTAAGATGGTGGAAGAGTCTCCTCAAGAGGCTACACCAAGAAGGATAAATGAAAGAGGGAAAGAAGAAAGCCATAGCAGAATTCCCTGGCTATGCCTCATGCCACTGCTCCTAGCCACAGCCCCTGTGGTGCAACCACTCAGGTCCGGCCATCCCCATCCAGGGAGGTTAAGCCCTACCAGGGTATTGTTTGGCCGGGGTTCCTATTTACCACTCAGATCGCTTCCACCATCCTACGCTAGGGTCTCGGGAAGCCCCGGGGCAGAAAGCTAGGAGAGGACTTGATTTCGAGGACCTCTTCCAAACCCCCTTACTAACTGCTGTAGGAATGGGAGAGTGAAGCCGGGCCTTCGCTTGGGTGGGTTCCTACGGGTCAGGGGCGTCCGCTCGGCCAATGCCTAAGGAAGGTGGCCATTTGAGCCGGTCGCTCCGCATCGAAAAAGCCCTACCAGAGAGAAAGGCCTCCTCGGGGCCCGGGTTCCGTCCGAGTGTCAGGTGCGGCCCTCAGTTCCCAACCCTCGGGGCACCAGGGGCGACAGCGCAGAGGCCCCAGGGCTGAGACTGGTCTCCCGCCCGACCGCCGGGGAGACAGGCACCCGGACTGGGGCCCGAGCCGCAGCGTGCCCGCCCCCGCCCTACCTGAGGGGGCCCGGGCGGGGTCGCTAAGGGCCGCTCCCGGGAGCCCCGCGACGGCGCGGCTCGGCGACGGAGGCGCCTCGTCTCGCCGGGGCAGAGCTCGGCGGAGGTTTCACGACCTCAAACTCCATCGGGAGCTACAGGGACAGCCCCGTTGGCGGCGGCGAAGGCCGCGACGGGGCCTCCTCCTCCTCCTCCCTCTCCCTCCACCTCCGCCTCCGCCTCCTCCTCCGCCTCCGCCTCCTCCTCCTCCTCCTCCTCCTCCTCCTCCTGACCACGGAGGCGGACCTGGAGGGATCCCGACCTTCCTCTCGCGATAAGTTGCTCCCCACTTAACGCGAGATTTCGCAAGCCCGGGAGTCGGGAGTTAGAAGGAAAACGTAGCAGCCCTCGTCACCGAAACTACGCATCGGCTTCCCTCTGCCTCAGCGGATCCACCCCGATCACGTGACAAGGGTGCCCCGGAGCACTGTGGGAGGTACTGTGAGAAGGAGTAGGCAAGCCGAAGAGATTGATGGGAAACTCCCTGCACTTTTATCTGAGCCTTGAGCCGGTTACCTAGACGCTGGTTTGAGCCAGCGTCTTAACTCTCTTAGTGAAAAGCGTGGAATCCATTGAGCAGAATCTGATACATCTGTGTTGCAATCTACTTCACGCTTCTGTAAATGACATGCTGACCGGATCCCTCAGTTCTTAAGTAATCTCCCCATTACAAAATCAAAAAGAAAAAACATGTATTTGGCAGGCACTTCGACATCTCACTTCTTTATTAAACAGAAAACTCTTCCTAGACAAAGAGTCTAAAGAAAAAAAATGTAGAAAGCTCTGAGCTCTTCAAAAGCTGGCAAAGATAAAAATTTGAGCACAAATTCTGGCATCATATCTCAAATATTTGTTGGCGCTTTTTCCACAGCGAGCTAAGGTAAGAATTGTTCTTACTGTTTATAATTTATAGATGAAACAGACTGGGAATAGGGATAAGAGAATTGACATTTATAAACTACTTAGTATGTGTCAGGTCCTGTGTTAGGTGATATTTAATCTTAAATATTTTAGTTTTATTTACATTTCATTTAGTTAGCAGAGTGATCCTAGAAAGCAGATACAATGTACCCTTCGTTACTGATGAAAAACTAAAGAATGTAGGTTAAGGAAATGACCACGACTTGTAATTAAACTCAAGGCACTTTCCAATGTGAAATCAGATGTCCAAAAACAAAAATATGGAAGTAAACCGACGATAAATTAGGATAAGGAAAGGTTGCTTATACAATTTTAACAAAATATACGGTTATTACCTATTATATTTGTCTGAATGACAGGCAAAGATCAATGCTTTTGAAAAAAGATACATTGGCCACATCAAAGACGTTTTTTCCACAATTTTTTTCCTTATTGTACTTTAGGTTCTGGGGTACACATGCAGATGATGCAGAATTGTTGCATAGGTGCACACATGGCAATGTGGTTTGCTGCCTCCATCCCCTGTCACCTACATCTGGGATTTCTCCCCATGTTATCTCTCCCCAACCTCCCCAACCCCTGCTGTCCCTCCCTTCCCCCCCGCAACAGACCCCAGTGTGTGATGCTCCCCTCCCTGTGCACATGTGTTCATTGTTCAACACCCGCCTGTAAGTGAGAATATGCGGTGTTTGATTTTCTGTTCTTATGTCAGTTTGCTGAGAATTACGGTTTCCAGATTCATCTATGTCCCTACAAAGGACACAGAGTCATCAGTTTTTATGGTTGCATAGTATCCATGGTGTATATGTGCCACATTTTCCTTGTCCAGTCTGTCGTTGATGGGCATTGGGTTGGTTCCAGATCTTTGCTATTGTAAACAGTGCTGCTATGAACATACGTGTGCATGTGTCTTTATAATAGAATGATTTATAATCCTTTGGGTATATACCCAGTAATGTGATTGCTGAGTCAAATGTCTCTTTCCATTCTCTTCTCTTTATGAAACATATGCCAAGCCTAGAAAACTGTTAACAACAATCATGTGTTTCAGTAATTTCAACTGGACAGTGATGAGTGATTTTATATGTACATATTTGTTTTCCACCCCACTGTATATATATTTTTTTCTTTTCTTTTCTGGTTTTTTTTTTTTTTTTTTTTGAGACAGAGTCTTGCTCTGTCGCCCAGGCTGGAGTGCAGTTGTGTGATCTTGGCTCACTGCAGCCTCTGCCTCCTGAGTTCAAGCAATTTTCCTGCCTCAGCCTCCCGAGTAGCTGGGACTACAGGTGCGTATCACGCCTGACTAATATATTTTTATTAGAGACAGGGTTTCACCATGTTAGCCAAGATCGTCTCGATCTCCTGACCTTGTGATCCGCCCGCCTCGGCTTCTCAAAGTTCTGGGATTACAGGCATGAGTTACTGCAATTGGATTTGTTTGTTTGTTTGTTTGTTTTTAAGACGGAGTCTCACTCTTTTGTTGGGTGGAGTGCAGTGGTGAGATCTGGCTCTTTGCAACCTCCACCTTGAGGGTTCAAGCGATTTTCCTGCCTCAGCCTCTCGAGTAGCTGGGATTACAGGCACCCGCCATCATCCCAGGCTAAGCTTTTATTTTTTTATTTTTGTAGAGATGGGGTTTCACCTTGTGGGGCAGGTTGGTCTTGAACTCCTGACCTCTCAGGTGATCTGCCCACCTCAGCCTCCCAAAGTGTTGGGATTACAGGGGTAAGCCACCGCACCCGGCCATATTTTTCTATTCTACTGGATATATTTCCATTTCACTAACAGTAGAATATGCATTTCTGATAATCTGAGATTTTTCAAAGGTGTCCTGACCACCATATTTATTTATTTTTATTTCATTTTAGGGACGGGGTCTTTCCCCCTCACCCAGGCTGGACTGCAGTGGTGATCTTGGCTGGTTACTGCAACCTCCACCTCCCTGGTTCATGGGATTCTCCTGCCTAAGCCTCCCAAGTAGCTGGGAATACAGGCGAGTACTACCACACCTGCCTAATTTTTGTATTTTTAGTGAATGGTTTTCATCAGGTTGACCAGGCTGCTCTTGAACTCCTGACCTCAAGTGATCTGCCAGCCTCAGCCTCCCAAAGTGTTGAGATTACAGTCATGAGCCACAACACCCAGCCCTGACCACCATATTTGAAATTGCAATCCCATTCCCCTTCTCTCGAACTCCCTATTCCTGACTTTTCTCCAAATCCTTTCTCAAAATCTGACATATGGATTTTACTTGTTTACTATTTGTCTCCCTTCACTACAGTGTTTCACAAGAGCAAGAATTTTTGTCTGTATACCTAACTTCTACTGCATTGTAAGGACTCAGGAAGTATTTGCTAGATGAATGATTAAATGAATAGCCAGGAGAAATTGTATACTTTAAAATTTAAAAAGACAAAAGACATAGTTCTCCATTCCCACCTCCAGTTTATTATTTCTTATTTAAACATGTAAGATAGTTACATCCCAGGAAAAAGGGCAAGTATTTTCTTATAACAAAGTAAGGACTACCTTTTCAAGATCTTTTATACAAAAATGGAGTAAATGAAGAGGCTGAACTCAAACACTTTGCATTTTTCTGTCATATTAGAAACACAAACTAAATGTGAGTATGTTAAATGAATAAATTCTATACTTTGTCATACCTGCACTTTAAAAAAAGATTCAATTTTCCTGAAAATTTTTAGACATATCATGCAAACAGATACTCTTATAGGAATGTTTTGAGCTCATTCTGTGCTACTGAACAGGAATAAATAATATAAATAACCATCACTTTCACAAAACACCCCTCCCCCTAGCAAAAATCTCAAAGTGCTTACAAAAAATTTTACAACAGTCTTACAAGGCACACAGAAAACTTAAACGTGGTTTCAACCAATTTTTTTTTTCAAATATCCAAGATAGTAGATACTAATTCCTAAAAAATCAGATTACTATTCTTTTACCCTCTCCTCCCATCTCCATCCTTCCCCCTCCCCTCAACACCATTTTTATCCTAGGAAGCAAAAATAAGAAAAGTACTTCAATCACAAATAAACCATTTCTGAAAAGAAAATATTTTCACATCAATAAATGACCAATCATAGGTCAGATGGAAGCAATGAGCTATCATACTCACCAGTGGAAAAAGATCCACTATTTAGAAAAATTCTGTCCCCAATGGAGTACTTAAGCAACAAAGTTCATAAAGACACAAACCTGTCCTCTCTTGCTTTCCCCTCTTCTGTTCTCAGGAAGAATTAAATGTAAAATCATGAAATTTTAGACCTGGAAATCATCTTTCAAATGACCAAGATCAAATTTATTTTACATATAAAGTTAAAAAGTTCAAGGAGAAGAGACCAGCACAATGTCGCTAACTAGTAACACTGGGTTATGAAGTTGGTCTTTTTATCAAATGCGACCTGCATACTTCAAAGTCTCTATGAGAGTTAAAATTTAATAGATAATGTCTTTCCCACAAAAGTATCAAAAAAAGGTTAACATTTATAATAATGAACGTGTGATTCATCACAAAATTTTTATAAGTGGTACAAAGTATATTACACTTTAAAGGGCTTCAATAGAAATTAAATACAGTAGAAATTCTACATAAAGCTAAGTACAGGAGGACTAGAATAGCTTGAAAGCAAGAGGCATCTAGTCAGGCTTCTTTACCAAAAGCAGTTCCTGTGTTTCAGAGAATATTATTTGCTCTGCAATGTATTTTAATCTCTGTTAAAACAATTTTTTAAAATTTTATATTATGAGTAGACAGGAATAAGAGAACTCTGGCTCAAAACACCATCTCAAATATGACTCTCACTAAAATAATCATAGTCATTGTTTTCCTTTTGGCACATTTTTGGAAATATAAAACTCTAGGGATGGTTAAGGTTTTTATCAACACATAGTGAATGGAAATTGCATTAATGCAAATGAAAAAATACAACACGAATAGCTACCCCTTTAAAAACTGCTTGTCTGGTGACAATTAGAATATACATTGCCAATTCAAAATTTAAAATGACATGAACGAACCTCAAAGTCATTATGCTGGGTGAAAAAGCATCTCAAAAGAGAACAAACTATAAGATTCTATTTATAGGATGGTCCAGAAAAGGCAAAATAATAGCGATAGAGAACTGTTACCAGGACTAGAGCTAGAAGGAGCTGACTACAAAGGGACGGCATGAGAGACTTGTTGGGAGTGAAGGAACTGCTGTGTACCCTGATTGCTGTAGTGGTGTCCAAATCTTGGTGTTAAAA